AGGGGTTCCCCGGCCAGGTCCAGTAAGAAGTCCGCTCCGACAGCTTCTGGCGTCGGAGCGGGCAGTAGCGTCGAGAGTCCCAGACCTCTCCCCAGCTCCTCCGGCCGGGGGAATCCCAAGGGGTTCCCCGGCCAGGCCCGCTAAGAAGTCCGCTCCGACAGCTTCTGGCATTTTTAAAAAGTATCCCAGGGGCACGGTAAGGGTCGGAGATGTTTAGTCTATTTAATTTCTGACTATATAAAACGATTTCTTCGGTTTTAAAGTGTGAAGTAAACTCCGACGAAGTAAAATCCAAGCGGATCCCTTTCACGTTCATGGTTACATCCGTGTTTGTTTACCTTTTTTTTCCTGCCAAAATGGCATCTACTAACTCAGAGTCACGTGGGGTCCGGAGCTCTATGAAGACGATTTGTCATGTACATTTACAAAATGAAATCTGTCAGACAGGTAGGATTTAAACCAACCTAGCGCTGTTCCTTTGATCCCTACAACATGTTCAAGTCTTTCTAAAAGAACATTGTGAACAACTGTGTCAAAGGCAGCACTGAGATCTAACAAGACTAGAACAGACACAAGATTCTTATCTGAGGCCATGAGAATATCATTTGTAACTCTCACTAATGCAGTTTCAGTGCTGTGATACTCTCTAAAACCAGACTGAAATTCCTCAAACAGAGCATTGATGTTTAAATGCTCACATACTTGGATGGCCACTATTTTCTCCAGGACTTTGGATAAAAATGGAAGGTTAGATATTGGTCTATAATTCACTGGGTCATCTGGATCCAGAGAAGGCTTCTTAAGTGAAGGTTTGATTACAGCAACCTTGAAATCTTGTGGTACATATCCATTTACTAAGGATAGATTGATTATATTTAGAATGGGGGCAGTAACCAAAGGAAATGCTTCTTTAAATAATTTGGTTGGGATTGGATCCAAAATGCAAGTTGAAGGTGTAGATGAAGCCAATATTTTTGATAACTTTGAAAGCTCAACTGGATCAAAACGGTTCAAGCACAGATGAGGTTCTACAGTCACCTCTGATGCTGCCTCACTTACTGAGGAAGAAGAAATCGCATTAGGGAGGATGCTAAAGAATTTGTTTTGCTAATAGAATTAATTTTACTTGTAAAAAAAACCCATGAAGCCATTGCTGCTGAGGGCTAAGGGAATAGATTGCTCAGAGCTATGATTCTGTGTAAGTTTAGCAACTGTACTGAAAAGAAATTTAGGATTCTGCTTATTCTCCTCAATTAGTGCTGAAAAATAAGCAGTTCTAGTTTGTCGAAGCTTATTTTTATAAAACACAAAACTATTTTTCCAGGGTAGGTAGGCCTCCTCATGGTGCGTAGAGCGCCATGTTCTCTCCAATTTACTAGTTTTGTTTTAAGGCTCGTAAATGAGAATCAAACCAGGGAGCCAACTTCCTGTCCCTAATTACCTTCTTTTTTTAAAGGGGCTACATCATCTAATGCCACACGTAAAGAGGAATTAACATGATGAACTAACATCATCCTGATGCGTCAGCGACGGCCGCCTTGACCCTCTGCACGCTGTTCTGTCACGCCGGCAAGAATGGCTAAAGAACAAACAAAACTAACGAAGACTCTACCAGAGTCATTTGATTTCTGAAGTTAAGATAAGATGATAACGTGCATCTGCCAAATGCTTCGTACAGCCGTGTACCCGGCTACCACTCTGGACCAGAGCATCGGACACTCGCGTCTTCTCTGCCAGCCCCCGAGTGTCATCTTGGATGAACCCATCCTCCGATCTCCGGATCCACAAGAGGGTCAGCTGTTTTGGGTGAGGTAGAACACGACAGATGACGTTTGATGCTGTTTTCTCTTGAAATAACTAATTAGCTCCATCCAACACAGGTTTGCTTTTAACAAGTTTAATATCAAAGCTGTTAAGGATTGTCATCAAAATTGCCATCTATGAATTGTCATTTTATAATTGTAGTTTCAAATTTTCAGGTTAAAAATTGTTAGCAATAAATTTCTTCATTTCTAACCTTGCCTCATTACAGGTGCTGGCCAGTAAATTAGAATATCATCAAAAGGTTGAAAATATTTCAGTAATTCCATTCAAAACGTGAAACATGTACATTATATTCATGCAATGCACACAGACCAATGTATTTCCAATGTTCATTACATTTAAATTTGATATTCATAAGTGACAACTAATGAAAACTCCAAATTTGGTATCTCAAAAAATTAGAATATTCTGAAAAGGCTGAATATAGAAGACACCTGCTGCCACTCTAATCAGCTGATTTACTCAAAACACCTGCAAAGGCCTTTAAAAGGTCCCTCAGTCTTGTTTTGAAGGCACCACAATCATGGGGAAGACTTCTGACTTAACAGCTGTCCAAAAGACAATCATTGACACCTTGCACAAGGAGGGCAAGACACAAAAGGTGATTGCTAAAGAAGCTGGCTGTTCGCAGAGCTCTGTGTCCAAGCACATTAACAGACAGGCGAAGGGACGGAAAAAATGTGGTAGAAAAAAGTGTACAAGCTCTAGGGATAACTGCACCCTGCAGAGAATTGTGACGACAAACCCATTCAAAAATGTGGGGGAGATCCACAAAGAGTGGACTGCAGCTGGAGTCAGCGCTTCAAGAACCACCACGAGGAGACTCATGAAAGACATGGGATTCAGGTGTCGCATTCCGTGTGTCAAGCCACTCTTGAACAAGAAACAGCGCAAGAAGCGTCTCGCCTGGGCCAAGGACAAAAAGGACTGGACTGATGCTGAGTGGTCCAAAGTTATGTTTTCTGATGAAAGCAAGTTCTGCATTTCCTTTGGAAATCAAGGACCCAGAGTCTGGAGGAAGAGCGGAGAAGCACAGAATCCACGTTGCATGAGGTCCAGTGTAAAGTTTCCACCGTCAGTGATGGTGTGGGGTGCCATGTCATCTGCCGGTGTTGGCCCACTCTGTTTCCTGAGGTCCAGGGTCAATGCAGCCGTCTACCAGGAAGTTTTAGAGCACTTCATGCTTCCTGCTGCTGACCAACTTTATGGGGATGCAGACTTCACCTTTCAACAGGACTTGGCACCTGCACACAGTGCCAAAACCACCAGCACCTGGTTCAAGGACCATGGTATCCCTGTCCTTGATTGGCCAGCAAACTCGCCTGACCTTAACCCCATAGAAAATCTATGGGGTATTGTGAAGCGGAGGATGCAATACGCTAGACCCAACAATGCAGAGGAGCTGAAGACGACTATCAGAGCAACCTGGGCTCTCATAACACCTGAGCAGTGCCACAGACTGATCGAGTCCATGCCACGCCGCATTACTGCAGTTATTGAGGCAAAAGGAGCCCCGACTAAGTATTGAGTGCTATACATGCACATTCTTTTCATGTTCATTCTTTTCAGTTGGCCAACATTAGAGAAACAAACATTTTTTCATTGGCCTTTAGAATATTCTAATTTTCTGAGATACCAGATTTGATGTTTTCATTGGTTGTCACCTATAAATATCAAATTTAAATGTAATAAACATCGGAAATACATTGGTCTGTGTGCATTGCATGAATATAATGTACAAGTTTCACGTTTTGAATGGAATTACTGAAATATTTTCAACCTTTTGATGATATTCTAATTTACTGGCCAGCACCTGTATTGAAATAAAACAGAAAAGGGTTGCATTTCCAGTTTATCGAATGAAAAGAATCTTACTGAATCTTCTGCGTAATAAATAAACTTTTGCAATTAATTTAAGTATCTTAATTTTCACACCATTGCAAAATTGTGTGTGTGTGTGTGTGTGTGTGCATGCACACGAGCGAATTGTGAACCTGCGTTGTGATTTTGCACTACTTAGATGTTACGCTGACAAAAATGGAACTAAGTAACTTTTACTTTGAGTACATTTTATTTACGATACTTTTTACTTTTACTTGAGTAAAACTTTAGGCAAGTACTTTTACTTGTACTTGAGGTACTCGTACTTAAGTAGGAAATTTTAGCACTCTTTCCACCTCTGGTTATATGACCCGTCTGCTCCTCGAGGGCAGAACACCGTGTTTACAACTCATCTCAGCCGACCAGGCGATGACCTGAACTCTCACAAAGTTTACACCTCAGAACAGATGAGAACCTGGTTGACATTAGTCGTTTATCTTGCCAGAGGCTCAGAAGAAACAGAGAGAAAACCTTTATCTGGTGAAAAAAGATAGAAAAGAGCGTTTTATCAAAAAAGGGGCCAAACAAGTCAACATCAGGAAGCAAGAGCTCAGAGAAAGGACTCACCTCGATGTAGAGGTCATAGTCGTGCTTGTAAGTGTAACTAATGGGCCATTCCCATCTGTGCCGGGCCGGGTAGCCCCAGTCGGCCCAGTTGATTCCACACATCCTTGCCTTAAGCCCATGTGGGCTGATTCTACCCACCAATCAGAGGCTTGCTCTAATGGAAGGTGTGAATTTGCTGTCAGCAGTGGGTGTGTTGGCCCTGGTCGGCCTGAAGCAGACCCCCTTGAGAAGAGGGCTGAGAATGAGCCTTGGTTGGCCCGGAAAAATACCAGGCCACCCAGATATGTAAACAACCTACGCTACCCGACCCGGTACAGATGGGAATGACCCATAATCCGTGGTCGGCTGGTTTAACAGCAGCGAGGGGGAGGGGACAGCAGTTAGTTTTACCAACAGTGATTTAAAACTGACAGTAGGGAGCTTTGAAGCAAGCCGAAACTGCCTCGTTTCCCTTCAAGATCTAAAAATGATATTTTAGCCATTTACGTGTGGAGACTTATTGGCAAGTAGTGCCGATTTACTATTCATACCACTATTTTTTTGTTTGTTATTTCTGTTTTATATTTGTCACATATTTTTTATGTGCCATAAGGAAGGAGCCATCCATCTCCAGTGGTTTTATCCCAAAACTAAAGTCAATATATTAATAAAAGAGGCTTAATGATAAAAATGAACATAACATGTAAATCTACAGATGTTTGGTTAAATGATGGATGGATGATCGATAGTGAAATAGAAACCTTGCACACTTTATTTTTATTATTAACAAACTGTTCAGCTTGATATGTACAAACATAAAACGTATGGTGATCAGAAGCTCTAAAGACATAAAACACATTTTACTAAAAGTCTCATTTACTAAAATGTGTTTTAATAAAGACCTGATAACGAATCTAAAAAAGAAAAGTAAAAACAATGTTTCTGTCATGGTCCTGGACGTATATGAAGAAGTGGCTGCAGATGTTGCAGCTTCCTGCTGGATGAAAAAACAAGTCAGCCACACACTCCTCTGCTGGGGCTTCTGTACAAGACCCCTTAGTGGGACGGTGACTAGGCACAGACATACTTCAAAAATATCAACAACAAATGGGGAGGGGGGGGGGGAGGGGGTAAAGGCAGTTCAATGAACAGTGTTCAGATTTACAAGCAGGGAGGGCAGCACTCATCACAACAGCTTAAATACACAACACAGTTACAGCTATAGTACACATGTACACATACGGTGGGCTGGGGAGGAGAATCCTCACTCACTGCTCTGATGCTTGGAGATCTTTATCGTTGCCCATTTGTTTTACAATAATAGAATATTTCATCAAAAAGATTTTATTTACAATCCAAAATCTAAACAGCGAATCGTTGCCACCAAACCGTCCAGATGCTGATGCTGGAGCTCCATCCTGACACTCTGGCGTTCACATCCACATCAGCTGGAACATTAAAGCTGTTTGGGTAATCGAACCATTCTCCTGCTGCACCCCCACCACCACCCTGTCCATCCCGGAAATGAAGATCGACCACGAGTCTGTCACACACCTCAAGCTCACCTGCCCCCTCCCCCTCCCCGCTGGACGCAAGGTCACTCGAAGTAAAGGCAACTGGAGAACATTCAAATAAAAGAAAGTAACCATTGGAAATCAAATAAATAAGGCTATCATCACACACACACACACACAAAATAATAATATATATATATATTCATAGACACAAAGAAGAAACAAAATGTGCAATGATTCCAGTATCATCGTTACGTCTCCAATAGTCTAACCTGATTACCTTTGTGTCTTGCACCGTGTGTGTGTGTAAGTGTATGTGTGTGTGTGTGTGGTGGGGGGTTGGCTGGCTTGTGACAGCACGTGACAGGCAGTCCCACGGCAAAAAAAAACAAAACAACAAATGTTAGTAAAACAAAAAACAGAACTCTACCAGATTAAGTTAAAATGTAACATTAGTGAAACTAAACGTTTCAGCAAAAAGGAGCAGAAACAAGCGGTGGTCAAGGACAGAACGCACAGGCACACACACACACACACACACACACACAAGCACACACACTCACACACGCACGCACGCACGCACACGCACACACACACACAAACGGAGTTTTCTCAGTAAAGCGATGGCATCTGTACATCAGCCTGTCATCGCGCATTTTCAACCCCAAAGCCTTATAGCACTCAAAACCAAACACCCCCACCCCGACCTTTGACCCCAGAAGCCATGAAAAAGAAATAAAAGTGAAGAATACGAGTGAAGCCCTGGGTCCAACTAGGGGAGTGGACTCTTTAAGATGAGATGAGGGTTGAGGGGAGAATCCAGGACTAACGCTGGGAGGTCATTTATTCTGTGGTAATGTCCTGACCCCAGAGTGGGCGGGGTCTACCTGTCCTTCAGTTCCTGAGTGACCCGTTTGGTGAACCTCCCACAGAACAACCCCATGAGGAAGAGCAGGGTCACAGCGGCACAAATTACAGTCAGGATGTAGTTCTTAGATGGGGATGTCATCACCTGCGAGGCCAGGTCCAAGAAACCCTCGGCAGGAGCCACCTAGAAGTGAGCAGAACCAGGTTTAGAGGCAGGTCTCTCTCAACATAAAACTCTACAAAATAAAAGCCTCATTAAGCACCAGGATCCAGAACCAGGAAGGGTTCTGTCTAACAGCTGCGGGTACCTTGGCAGCGTAGCTCCACATGTCGATGCGGTCCTGAAGTCTCTTCTTGCATTCTGGCTGTAGTCGGACCCGCTTGTCCTGCAGCGCCTCCATCAGACACGACATCTCTGAGGGAAAGCAGCAGGAAATCTGGTCACAATTTAGATTAAAACACGGACATTTACATCTTGGAATAATTAAGGCTGTCGACAGACATAAAAAATGGACAGATTAACTGTGATCTGTAATTAATCTAATTATCTCTTTTAATCTCACCTAGAAACAGCTGAGAAAAGCCCTCATCTTGATGTTTTTTTATTTGAATTCTATTATTTTATTAGACAACAAATGTTTTCTAAAGTTGTTTATTGACGTGAACAGATTCAGTCTCAGCCATTTACACTCTGCTGCGTCGAGACAAGCGCTGCCTGTCTTTACTTTCGACCTGCCAGGTGAACATAGCCGTGCTCTTTTTGCAACTAATCAGAAAACGAACATTAAAGGTAGTGACGTGTCTGATGTCTCGACACTTCGAAGCGTGTCGGGTATCCAGGAAGATCTTTTGTGAAGCGAGTATCGAGGCTTGTGTTGATTACATAAGCAGTGACGTTTGAGGCCTTGTTGGCAGTCCGTACCACATGACCGATTCAAGAACTGGCTCGCCGGTTCACAATGGACTTGGAAAAAAAAAAAAAACAGGGGCACCCCCCCCCGTCACATTGGGCTGTTAGTGACCTCTCTTTTGGACCAGATAGTATATTAAAAGGACAGTTTAAGACAACATTAATAATTTACTTTCTCAGTTTAAAGGTTTACTGTTTTACTTGAATCGTCCACTTGATGGTGCAATAGAGCGAATGAATCATCACGGCGCCTCAAATGCAGAGTCGACCAGTTGGCTGGAAAGCTTCAGCTCATCATGAGGCTTCATCTCACCGTCGTTAATTAAAGATCACTCATTTACAGACCTGTCTTGCGTACAAGGCAGGGTGAGAATTGCACAAGTCATTTTCTACATAAATTTTGTGATTGATAAAGAGAAACTTGATGGAAAAGAGGCACAACTTTAGCAAACTGATGTTGGCGTATGCAAACGAGACGGGGACACTGGCAATGCAGCCGGGGAGATGGTGACATGGCGAATGTAACCCACATCTATAGACTCGGAGACCCTCGCACACAAACACAAAAACAACAGTCAGCCCCACTGCTTATTATGATTGTAATTAATTAACCACATCTAACAAAGGGTTAATAAACGTGTAATTATTCAGTTGTTAGTCTTCAGTTACCAGTTGTGATTAACTAGCCCCGCTGCAGCCTCGGAAACCTCCGTGAGATGATGGAAGAGTTCTGACAGGCAGAGCAATGCCAACAACGGTTCTAAACTAGGGATCCAAGTCAGAGTCATTTGATTTTGATTCTTTGCCGATAGAGTCCCGATCCACCAAGCATTAAAACATAAAGACAATAAGAACGGGAAAACACATACAGGCTTTCCTTTTTTATTATTAGTATTTAGGTATTTATTTCTGTATTTATATCATTTCCTTGGTTTATCTGCCAAAAAACATCACTTGTCTAGGAAGTACATTGATAAAAAAAACATGTTAATATTATGAATATACTTAAAAGTAGCAGAGTTGCTCATATTTCAAATGAGAAACCAAGATGTTTTGCTGTCCGTTGGCGATTTCTCAGCATTTATCTTTCACGGTTGGCAGGCTCCATGTTTTTGTTAGAGATGCCGCTGTGAACTGAACTTTATGCAGACCGAGGATTAGCCGTGCTGACGCCTGAATCATCATGCAGCTGTCTTTTCCAGCCTGCTGAATGCCCAGGAAACACTTATAAGTGGCTATTACACTGTCTTCACTGTGCGGTTTAAAATGCCACCAAAATATGAACATTTCAGCTTTTTTGTGGGGACGCGTTAGCGCTGCGTTAGCCTACCAGCTAACAGAGCTAGCAACAGAATCCCCACCTGCTGTAGCTTGTGTGAGGTAATGGTGATGTTTTCTTCTAAGAAACAAAGAAAACGGATGTAGAGGAACTTGTTGAAATTAAAGCGAGTCATTGTTCCGTTGAAAATCTCTCTCAGGATGGTTTTAAAAAGTCATATTTGTTGTTTTATATGGTTAAATCTGATCTTTTTCACCCGATTTCAAACGTTTGAACATCACACGATCGGGTCCAATTTCCAATCACGTGATCAGAGCATCCCTTTTCTAAAGACAACTAGTGGGAGTTTAAACTGGGCGCTGAACCTGAAGCCAGTGTAGGTAGACCAGTAAAGGTGTATAGACAGTAGGGCTGAAACGATTCCTCGAGTACCTCGAATAATTCGAGTACAAAAAATCCTCGAGTCAAATTCTCTGCCTCGAGGATTCGTTTAATTCATATTTAATTAATTCATGGCTTTGCAGTCGCCCGTGGTCATGTTTCACCCGGACTGAAATAAGTGACGCACATGCCCACTGGACTGAATCGCACACGCGAGTAGGGAATGTAACTTAACTTTATCTTAAGCTATGGCGGACAACGTGGATCCCGGTGGAGTGCGAAAAAGACAGAAAATGTCAAGATGTGGGACCATTTTTCACGTCGTAAGGTGGAAAACGTAGTCCAGTGAAAATACTGTAAAATGGATTTAGCCTACCACAACACCACATCCTCCGTGCTGCAGCACCTGTAAATGTCACTTCTGCAAGCGGACTCGGAGCCTCTACAAGATAATGCTTTTTGGCCTGTATTGCTATATATTCTGCGGACACTGCGACTTTTTCGTTTGTAGCACTCAGTTTCAGCTCACACCGTACGTCTGGTAGCAACACGTCGGACTTAAAATGTGCTAAAAAATAGCATTTTTACACAAAACGTCGGACTTTTTATTGTGTTGTTATTGATATTTTTTGTCCCTCGGGATTGCTGCAGGATTACTGGTATTTATGAGAGGAAAACGAAAGAAAGTAAATAAATGTTTTGTGATCAGTATAATTTGACAAAACCACGGCAAACATGCTTTCTCGACAATCCTTGTTATTGTGTGAGAAAAAAAGTGTTGAAATTAAAACGGACGTGTGTTAATAGGGAAACAGCCGGCGAACTGTTTGCGCATGCGCCGTGAGCGGTTCTGGTTCTGTTTGGGCCGCAGCCGCCCGCAGCGCTACTTCAACAGTTATCCTCTGGCTTGCAGGCTAGCAGATTCTCGCACGAGGGGAAAATTGGCTCAGGTTGTGTACTTATTTTTTGCACAGGCATTTGTTTACTGTGAAGTAAAGTTGGAAGTGCTGAAGTTTTGCAAACTAATTTTGAATAAAACTTGAAGAATAACTGGCAACTGCTTGCTCATTTTAAGAGGTCTTTCATAATTATAACATGCTATTTGATATAATGGTTTACAAACACAAAGGGGTAATTTATTAGAGTACTCGATTAATCGAAAAAAATATTCGATAGAGTACTCGATTACAAAAATATTCGATAGCTGCAGCCCTAATAGACAGAACCTGTGGTCTGTTGGTAAAGACTGACGGAGACCTGAGGATGAGGAATGACAGCGATCCAGGTGAGCAGATGAATTAGTGACTGAAACTCGTTAAATGGATGGAGCTCATCTTGACATAAGAGTTGATTTGTTCATCAAATGCAAAAGCAGATTCAAACATGAGATTATAAATGTTGCGAGCTGATAGTGCTCTGGTATCAGAGGATTTAAGATTGTTCACAAATAGTAATTTCTGTTTCATTTGGTAGATATTTGTCAACAAGAAAGATCAACAAGGACCAAACAGATCAGAACTGTGAAAGGTCATCGTCGTCGTCTTCCTCCACTTATCCGGGTCCGGGTCGCGGGGGCAGCATCCCAACTAGGGAGCTCCAGACTGCCCTCTCCCCGGCCACCTCCACCAGCTCCTCCGGCAGGACCCCAAGGCGTTCCCGGACCAGATTGGAGATGTAACCTCTCCAGCGTGTCCTGGGTCGACCCGGGGGCCTCCTGCCGGCAGGACATGCCCGAAACACCTCCCCAGGGAGGCGTCCAGGAGGCATCCTGACCAGATGCCCAAACCACCTCAACTGACTACTTTCGATCCGGAGGAGCAGCGGTTCTACTCCGAGTCCCTCCCGATTGTCCAAGCTCCTCACCCTATCTCTAAGGCTGAGCCCGGCCACCCTACGGAGGAAACTCATTTCGGCCGCTTGTATCCACGATCTCGTTCTTTCGGTCATTACCCAAAGCTCATGACCATAGGTGAGGATTGGGACGTAGATCGACCGGTAAATCGAGAGCCCGGCTTTCTGGCTCAGCTCCCTCTTCACCACGACAGATCGGCTCAGCGTCCGCATCACTGCAGATGCCGAACCAATCAGCCTGTCGATCTCCCGATCCCTCCTACCCTCACTCGTGAACAAGACCCCGAGATACTTTAACTCCTCCACTTGAGGTAGGACCTCTCTCCCGACCCGGAGTTGGCAAGCCACCCTTTTCCGGTCGAGAACCATGGTCTCAGATTTGGAGGTGCTGATCCTCATCCCAGCCGCTTCACACTCGGCTGCAAACCTACCCAGCAAGAGCTGAAGGTCAGAGCTGGATGAAGCTAGGAGGACCACATCATCTGCAAAAAGCAGAGATGAGATTCTCCTGCCACGAAACTCGACTCACTCCACACCATGGCTGCGCCTAGAAATTCTGTCCATAAAGGTCATGAACAGAACCGGTGAAAGGTCATGTCAGACCAAAAGGTCTCAGCTTTACTGAATCCCCTGTGAAAGGTGGCCAACATGTGTGTGTGTGTGTGTGTGTGTGCGTGCGTGCGTGCGTGCGTGCGTGCGTGCGTGCGTACTCACGCCGCCCTCTGCCAGGCTGGATTGCAGCACAGTGGTGTTTGATGTCCAGAGCACAGGCTGTATGAAGAACTGGGTCAACAAAGATGTCTGCCTTACTCTCCTTCAGCATGTTCAACACCTCCTGCAACAGGGAGGAGGGTGAGGAAGGAGAACTAACATTAGAAGATACACAAGAGGACATTATGAACAAGAGAAGCCTCTTTAGTCAGAAGAACGTGACAAATCAGAAAGAATATACCGACCTTCCTACAGGCTTCGTGTTTGATCTTCAGCAGGTTGATCTTCAGACACTCTTCTACCTGCCCGGTCTGCTCCTGAGCTGCTGCCTCATCCGAACAAAAGTTTGAGATCTGAATGCAGACAGCGTTTACACACTGTGAGCTAGTGCATGGACTGGGGCCCCACCCAGAGTTTGTGGACTAATGCCCGATTTATACTTCTCCATGAGCTCCGCAGCGGAGAGACGCACAGGAAGTATCGGAAAGGTTTTCACAGGCGAACTTCTGCTCAGACAGCAGATTGTTGCAAAGCGAATCCCCGCCAGGACAACAGAGGGCGGAGCGCTATTCTGAGGTATCCTGCCACCATAACACTCATGTATCGTCCACGATAGTGTACTTACTAATGTGTTTATATATTTCAGAGACTTTCGGAGAGCCCTTGACACATAATGGCGTTGCGTCTCTCCGCACCAACACAGATGGAGAAGAATAAATCAGGCCTAAGAAAAAGCCTGAGCAAAATCAAAGCTCTGGCTGCATTGTGTTAAAGGCAACAGAGCTAAACTCTCTCACTATTTATGGAAACACAAACAATTCAATAAGCAATTCTTGTTGTTCATGGCATCAATCCGCCAGCCAAAGCATGACCGGTCCTTGACTACAATGAAAACAAAGAACGAGGTCAGGCATATTTTCTGAGCCATTTTTATGTGAGGTGTGAAACGTTGTGATGGAAGCTAGATGCTTTAGCAAAACCATTCTTTGTATCTGAGAGAATTTGTGAAGTCTGGGTTGTAAAAGAAGGTGGATGTTTGTTTGGTGAGCTAAGGATTGTTTATAAAAGTTATCCGATGCAATCGGTTGAGTCTACAATACCCTTTGTGTAGAGACCCCCAGCAGATCCTGACTGTCAGAAATCGGGGTGGACATCGACCTCAAGGTACCAGGAACCCGCATATTAGCTCTGATACGACCCGTCTGGTCTTGAGAGATCGCTAGGTCACAACAGTAAGTTGGAATGCTCGTTTGCATCCAAGGTTGATGTTTGGCTCTTAAAGAGCAGTTTGATGTCTGTATCAACGTAGCGTGCAGAGGCTTTTGACTGGATGTCAAAAGAGATGGTTTCATAAAAGCTTGTTCCCGAATTGGCCGGTTCGAGAGTCAGCTAGGAAATCGGGAAGTGATTCTTGTTTTACTTAACTCATTGAGGGTTTTACCAAACATCCCTCAGAAAGACACACCTTCTTCAGATACAAAGGTGTTAAACGCTTTGTGAATGAGAATGTTTTAAAACACTTATGTGAAGTGAGTATTACATTAATGGGTATCTTATAGTAATGTGTACGAGTGTAGATATTGATTAACTTGTTAAATCAAACACATACTGATCATACGATCTGAAATGGATCATTGTAAGAGCAATATTCATTTTAAAGCCATCATGGTTAAAGCACAGATTATTCAAACATTTGATTTAAACTTCTTGTTCATTCAACACACATGATTATTTAGATTTTTAAGCTGTAAAGCCATTTATAATTCCAGATCACTTTCCCCAGAGTGAGGAATGCTGAAGTCTGGCTTTACGCAGATTGCCGGACATTTGCAGGAGACCTTGACAATGTTATGTCTTCTTGCATGCAAACAAGCACAGAGCAGAACTTTCTGGATTTAGAGGCCAGATAGATAGTGGGTTTATGTATGTAGATGAAAGGTTATCTTGTGGTTAATTAAGACGGTGAAAATTGACTCTTTGGTACGTTACAGACAGTATCAGAGAGTTAAGGTAGAAGTGTTTGAACCTCTTCTGTGCAGTGCATCTGGAGCTGAGGGTCCAGTCTGTAGTCCAGCGCAGACTCCTGTAAAATGACCCGGATCTGGTCCTCACAGTCAGGAGACAGGCGCTGCAGAAACAAATTAATGACACCATTTCTGCTGCTTCATGGGCTGAAACATTTAAATTATCCATCATATTTAGAATTATTCTTCAGCCGATATGCACAGTTAGAATATTCTGATCATGCATGTAAGGATTAGACTAATTCAATGCATTGGTATCTCAAATATTGTAAGTAGCTGAGGGTAGGGCTGCAACAAACGATTATTTGGATAATCGATTAATCGGATGGGGTCTCGACACGATTAGTCGATTAATCGGATTACATAGGGACATTTTTAAAAACTGCTAGGGAAACGTTATTTTTCTCCTTCCCTCACTTTATTAAACACAACATTATTAGAAAACAGTTCAATAGCAGAAAAACAACATGCCATCACCTAAATTGTCTTATAAGGTGTATAGACAGAGACCCTAAGCTACATCTATCTGTGACCTAAAATGCTTGGTCCAAGTTAAACAGCTTAAAGAGCAAGTCAACCCCTACCAGAGTCCAACTCCACTCCCGCTTCATGTTTGAAAAATGCAACACATGCTGTTGCCTGGCAGACCGAGAGGGCGGAGCCGCTAACAAATACACACACACTCAGGCTCACGACAGCATTGTGACATCATAATGTAACAGTTTACATCATAGCATACTTCTTAGCCAATAGCGGTGGCAGATTTAAATTAAAATACAGTGCAGAGTTTTTACCTGACAACGGCACAACACTGCCAGTTTTAGGCAGAATATTTAAATTTTAACTAAGATGCACTGAAGTGCCAAATTATTGACGACACGTGTCTGTAGCATGATTAGACACTCGTTTATTTAGTCTATCAGCAAAAAAAAGTATTTGGGGGTGACTTGCTCTTTAAGGGCAATTCTCATCTGTTTTGTTTGATCTCATCTGTAGATATTTATTATAATTGGGGATGTCAAACAACTAATTTTTAAATGTAATTAAACATAGGCTGTGAATTAATCAAAATTAATCACTATTTCCAAAAATGACTGAAAAATACCAAATAAAACAAAAGTAAATGAATGCCATCCTCCTTGTGATGATGCCCTGGGCAACTGCCATAAAGTCACATCAAGAAATGCTGCTGATCATCCCAATGATCCCAAATAGACTCACATTAGGCCACATGAAAGCAACTGAACCCAAAAATATATTAACCAGTATATTACTGCACTCTCACACAACACGCCTGCAGCAACAGTTAGGACTCCTCCCTCCCTTTTAAAAGCGTTTTCGCTTCTGAGGACATTGTGGTTGTAAAGCCACAAGTTAGTAGTCTGGCCCCGGTGTGATCAACCAGTTTCTGCGGGAATGTGACGGCGGAACCGGTTCGCAGCGGCGCGAGTCGTCGCCCCCCCCCCCCCCCCCCCCCCCCCGCGCATATCTAATAGCGTCGCGCTTACAATTTTAAAGACTTTTTTTTACGAGCTTAGGGCATGTCTAGCCTGTGTAATAATCCGGGGCTTGGGTGAATCACTTTTGAAAAGTTTTTAACTTACCCGGACACCGAGCTCTCTCCTTCCTCGCTGATGATTCTGACATGCTTGCGTTTAAGACGCTGCATCATCACCGTAGTATCCCCGTGCCATGCTAAGTCTGACCTACAAACGTTGCATGTCTTCGCCTGATTTAACTGAAAATGCTCCCAAACTTTAGAAGTTTTTACTTTTTGGGGGTCTCGCTGCTTCTGCCATGTTCCTCTTACAAACACCTGCTGGCTCTCCACCGGTCTGTGCGCAACGGCGGGCGGGAGGGGAGGGGGCTTTTGGAAGAGTTGCGCAACACAACGAATCGATGACGCAATTCGTTGCCAACGCTTTTAGTAATCGATTTTCATCGAATTTATCGATTCGTTGTTGCAGCCCTAGCTGAGGGTAAAACATTTTATAATGAAGAAATATCTTATGTTGCAAAAAAACCTCAAAAATCATGTAAAGCACCAGGACACCTAGAGAGAATGTTAGCAGCAGCCAGGCAAAAATAGTCTTAAAGAGTTGAGCAATGGAGAATGTAAAGAACTAACCCTAACCATAGCAAACTGGCTGTGAAACAGCAGTAACACAATGGTGAAACGGTGGCAACACAATGGTGAAACGGCAGCAACACGGTGGTGAAACGGTAGCAACACGGTGGTGAAACGGTAGCAACACGGTGGTGAAACGGTAGCAACACGGTGGTGAAACGGTAGCAACACGGTGGTGAAACGGTAGCAACACGGTGATGAAACGGTAGCAACACGGTGGTGAAACGGTAGCAACACGGTGGTGAAACAGTAGCAACACAGTGGTGAAACGGTAGCAACAAGGTGGTGAAACGGTAGCAACAAGGTGGTGAAACGGAAGCAACACGGTGGTGAAACGGTAGCAACACGGTGTTGAAACGGTAGAAAAACGGTGTTGAAACGGTAGCAACACGGTGGTGAAACAGTAGCAACACGGTGGTGAAACAGTAGCAACACGGTGGTGAAACAGTAGCAACACGGTGGTGAAACAGTAGCAACACGGTGGTGAAACAGTAGCAACACGGTGGTGAAACAGTAGCAACACGGTGGTGAAACAGTAACAACACGGTGGTGAAACAGTAGCAACACGGTGGTGAAACAGTAGCAACACGGTGGTGAAACAGTAGAAAAACGGTGGTGAAACAGTAGCAACACAGTGGTGAAACAGTAGCAACACAGTGGTGAAACAGTAGCAACACGGTGGTGAAACAGTAGCAACACGGTGGTGAAACAGTAGCAACACAGTGGTGAAACAGTAGCAACACAGTGGTGAAACAGTAGCAACACGGTGGTGAAACAGTAGCAACACAGTGGTGAAACAGTAGCAACACGGTGGTGAAACAGTAGCAACACGGTGGTGAAACAGTAGCAACACGGTGGTGAAACAGTAGAAAAACGGTGGTGAAACAGTAGCAACACGGTGGTGAAACGGTAGCAACACGGTGGTGAAACGGTAGCAACACGGTGGTGAAACGGTAGCAACACGGTGGTGAAACGGTAGCAACACGGTGGTGAAACGGTAGCAACACGGTGGTGAAACAGTAGCAACACGGTGGTGAAACAGTAGAAAAACGGTGGTGAAACAGTAGCAACACGGTGGTGAAACAGTAGCAACACGGTGGTGAAACAGTAGAAAAACGGTGGTGAAACAGTAGCAACACGGTGGTGAAACGGCAGCAACACGGTGGTGAAACAGTAGCAACACGGGTAGAAAAACGGTGGTGAAACGGTAGCAACACGGTGGTGAAACGGTAGCAACACGGTGGTGAAACGGTAGCAACACGGTGGTGAAACGGTACCAACACGGTGGTGAAACGGTACCAACACGGTGGTGAAACGGTACCAACACGGTGGTGAAACGGTAGCAACACGGTGGTGAAACAGTAGCAACACGGTGGTGAAACAGTAGCAACACGGTGGTGAAACAGTAGCAACACGGTGGTGAAACAGTAGCAACACGGTGGTGAAACAGTAGCAACACGGTGGTGAAACAGTAGCAACACGGAGGTGAAACAATAGCAACACGGTGGTGAAACAATAGAAAAACGGTGGTGAAACGGTAGAAAAACGGTGGTGAAACGGTAGCAACACGGTGGTGAAACGGTAGCAACACGGTGGTGAAACGGTAGCAACACGGTGGTGAAACGGTAGCAACACGGTGGTGAAACGGTAGCAACACGGTGGTGAAACGGTAGCAACACGGTGTTGAAACGGTAGAAAAACGGTGGTGAAACGGTAGCAACACGGTGGTGAAACGGTAGCAACACGGTGGTGAAACGGTAGCAACACGGTGGTGAAACAGTAGCAACACGGTGGTGAAACAGTAGCAACACGGTGGTGAAACAGTAGCAACACGGTGGTGAAACAGTAGCAACACGGTGGTGAAACAGTAGCAACACGGTGGTGAAACAGTAGCAACACGGTGGTGAAACAGTAGCAACACGGTGGTGAAACAGTAGCAACACGGTGGTGAAACAGTAGAAAAACGGTGGTGAAACAGTAGAAAAACGGTGGTGAAACAGTAGCAACACGGTGGTGAAACAGTAGCAACACGGTGGTGAAACAGTAGCAACACGGTGGTGAAACAGTAGCAACACGGTGGTGAAAGTGGTGAGAGTTTGCAATGTGTAAGAACCAGCAGGGAGGAGGGGAAAGGACAGAACTCTGACCTGGTCTGCATATTTGAGTTTGAGGCAGGAGATGACCTGACCCTCCAGCTCATTGTCAGTAGGCGCCTTGTTCAGGATGGACTGACAGAATTTTGGGATGTCGGCTTTACAGGCCTTCTTCAGCACTGGGTTCAACCTGTAGTCTGGACACAAAAACACACATCTAACTTTTCCAGCTCTGGAGAGGGAAGTCTGATGTTTGCTGAGCTCTGAACCAACAGCGGGTCTCGGTGAGTGTACCTGTGCTTTGGGTGATCTGTCTCTTGGTGATCATCTGTTTGCATTTAGGATCCATCAGCTCACTGTTCTTGTTTTGTTTCAGACACTGGAGAACGTTCTTTCCCTCCGACTCTGTACAGAACCGCTAAAAACAAAAGTGCTGTTACAGTCAGAGCTATCACCAAACATGCTGCTCCAAAACGTCCCATGGACTCTATAACTCAGGTTAGTTGGAAATGACTGAATGCTCTACCCTGATCATGTGCTTGCAGACTCTTATTAGCTGATAGTCCAATTCGGGATCAACCATCTCCACCTCCTGCAGCTTGAAGATCTTTTGGTGGCAGCGTGACGTCAGCTGATGCTTGTTCTCCTTCAGACACTCAATAACCTGCAGGAAGACACCAGACATGTTAGAAATGTGAGACGTTTTACATAAGGATACCTGTATTAGTAAAGCACTCTTCTGAGTCAGAGGACTCCAAATATTCCCCTACGGTGAATCATTCATCACTTGACACGCAAGTGATGTGTGTGCTCGTGTGTGTGTGTGTGTGTGTGTGTGTGTGTGTGTGTCTGCTGACCTGAGCGTTACCAAAGGCCACATTCTGACACAGCTGGCTGATGTCCTGCTTACAGGAGTCATAGAGCTCTGGTTCCAGACGGATGTCCTCAGACTGCTCACAAACAGAACAAAGATAACAGATAGAACATCTGTCCAACGGCACTTCTATCTAAACTTCTATCAGTTGGTTCTGAATGAACGAGTGAATGGATCACATGTTGTTAAACTGAATGGACAGATTCAGATCAGACTTCTGGGGTTTCAGAATAAATGCGTGTTTAAAAAGAAGCTTGTTGCCAAACTTCTGCCACGTGTTTCGTCCTGGAACAGCTGAATAGACACAGTTCATCGTGTTTATTTTGAGTTACTGTCAGAGTGTCAGTAAACGCACCATCTCCACCTCCTCCACTCTCAGCTGTTTACGACATTTGATGGAGACTCGCTGCTCTTTGCCTTCCTGCAGAGTGTCGTTTCTCACTGTGGTGCTGAGGCAGATCACCACGTCCACCCTGAGTCACACAGAGAGACAAGTTCAGACACACACACACACACACACACACACACACACACACACACACACACGGGACCTGCTGGTCCTGCAGTTCAACTGAAACCCACAGCAGATCAACAGGCGTTAATAAAAAGGTGTATTGTCTGTGTGCACACACACACACGCCTGTTCTAGTAAAGGGTGGTTTAACTGGCAGAAATGATAAAAATTAAGCAACATTTCACTTCTATTAAAATTAATCAGGAAGCAGGAAGAAACTTTATTGCTGTTTGTAGATTTAGAACTTCAATTCAAACTGTTTGGAATTCTGTTTTTATAACATTTAGCTCATTTTATTTAAACTATCTAAATCTTTATTCATGTTATGACTTTTTTGGGTTGCATTGTTTGGAAAACTCATCCTAACAGCATAAAAATGAAAGAAGCATTGGAGTGTAGCTCCACCCTGACACTGGTCTGAGGTTCCTGCAGGTTTTAAGTCATTTAGTCTCAGACAGAAACCCTTTAGCTGCTCTTCTTACTTCTTCTTGATGTTGGGACACAGTTTGAGAACATCCTCTTTGCAGGCTGTCTTGAATTTGTAGGAGAAACGAAAATCTTTGATCTGAATCTGCGGACAAGAGGGTGAAGACTGATTACTGATGAATTCAGTCTCAGGCTCCGATAAATCTGACTGCACCAGTCTGCTCACCAGCTGGAAGTGTGTGACTCCCACTGCACACTTCTCGTTCATCTCCTTCTGGTGTTTGTTCTGAATCAAACACTCCATCAGATCTCCAGAGTTGATCTGGTTGTCAGCAACCTCCTGGCAGACGCACACACACATTTTATTCATTCACCTGAGCTTCTCTTTAGCCAGGGCTGGACAATATACAAAAAGGCATATCAGCAAAAAAATTCTATTGACTGACTTCTATAATTATTAAAAAGAATAGATATGTTTTTATTAAGTGCAGACCTGATCTTTTTATGCTATTACTTTATGAGCTAGCACACAGAAACCGTCCGTATGCCGCCAGGACGCTCTGTCGGTTTAGTTTGCTTCGTGCTGGCAGACGATCCAGAACACTCCCCCTACGTGGAGCCGTGCCAAGGGCAGCACCGCTCACACTCCTGCTGGAGCGACCGTCTTAGACGGTAAAGTTGGCTGCGTTACCAGACTTGGTTTTTATAGATTCTCTGCAAATTTTGCAATCGAACGTTGTTTGTTTTGCATCTGACCAAAAAGCAACAGGAAACCAACATTTTGCCCATCAAATTCAAAAATACTTTATTATTCCCTAAGGAAAAGTATGTGTTGTTGCAACTAATTATTTAGACAATAATAATAATCTAAATAAATGCCATGCTGGTGAACTACTGCAACCTTTAGGCGACATCTTGTTCAAGTCACATGCTCTCTGTTGGTTTGAGAAGGGAGGGTTTGGCGACGAAGGGGTCTGCATTTTTTATTAGTTTGGTGTAAGTAATGACTCTGGTACGAAGCTACTCCATACACTAAAAGAAACTAACCTTTTTATGCAAGCTTAAAGACCCTTTTATATTTAATCGCAACACACACAGTGTTGGGCAAGTTACTTCAAAACTGTAATGCATTATTTATTACTTGTTACCCTCATTTTAAAGTAATTCATTACATTACAATATTACTGATTTAACAATGTAAGGCACTACACTACTTTTGCATTACTTTAAGTTACTTTCACCAAAACAACTTCAATATGAATCTGGTAATGTGACGCTCAGTGAACTCATAACACATCCAGAGGAAGGTGATGTGGTGTCTGAGCTAGGATTGCTGTTAAAAACAGTCAGATATAATAACAGTTCTTTATTAAATAAAAACAACAACAATCTGTACTCTCAGCACGCCGCCATCTTAGATTAACTGAGAAGGATGTGAGGTGGTGGGGGCTCTAAGCCTATATTTGCCTTGGTCCCCAAATGCCTTGATAGGGCCCTGGATGTGGGACTGACTTCTGGGGTGATCTGATTCTATCACATGTATAAATATTAAATGTTTGTATATTATTGCTTTTCACTGGTAAAAATGTGTATTGGGGATAAATCTACCTACTTTTTTTCTTTTCAAGCACTTTGTTTTGTTTTCTTGATTTTATGTGAATAACTTCCGGCCCTTTCTCTCTCTAACCTGCCTGCACGCTGCATGTTTTCTCCATCTTCCAGAAAAACAGTTTCCTAGATTTCCTACTTTCTAACTAATCAGCCAACGGGATCTACCGAATGCAAAAAGAGCTTAATATGCGCTGCGCTCCAGCAGCAATGAGTTGAAATCACCGGGGCACAGATTATGAACTCAGCTGAAAAGTACATGAAGTACCAGAGAATATGGGCTGATATAAACGATCGCAAACGAATTAATTTGTTTTGGTGGAGCGATTTTGTGAATATAACAGCGGCCGCGCGCAGGACACAGCTGGAGTATTTGAGCCATTCCCGCTGTGTCCTCTCTGCTCATAGAATGCCCGCAAAGCTGAGTCCATAAATGACGTCATATATGTGGATACTGGATCTTTTTTCAGGCTTCCCGCAATTAGAATTTTTAGGAAACCCACATCTTGATTCTGGGTTTAATAATGCATTGTAATTACCGCGTTACTGACAATTGTACCGAGTAAATATTACCGTTTTCTTTCCCTGTAATGCCTTACATTACCACATTACAGCAAAAAGCAATGCATTACAGTAATTCATTACTTTTGTACCGCGTTACTCCCAACACTGACCACACGTCTATGGACTGATACAGATGGTTCCTGAGTTGTTGTCCAGCCCTAGCTTCAGCTTAAGAAAGTTTTACATCACATAAGAAATCACTAACTCTTCTTTTGTAGCATGAAACTTCCCATTAATCAAATAATGGGCCGACATGGTCTTAACACTGCAGGATGGCGTTCTGAAATTTTGACTGCATACTCACATGGCAGTAGGTTTGAATGACAGGTTCACATGCTCTCATCAGCAGCGCCTCGATCTGAATGTCCTGAGGAGAAACACAGGAGAACTCTTCAGATGCTACGAAACTAGATCAGCCAGTCAAGCCTAACCTGCTTCATGAGGTCAAAGTGACTAATCAGTCAGAACCCTGGGTCCAAATTGTGTCAGGACAGCAAATTAAACTCAGAAACAGCCAAACCAACAGAATGAAATAATGATGGAAAGGTCAATTATAATATGAATGAATCTTTCATAACAAAACAAAGCAAGAGAACCAAGACAGCACTGTACCTCTGATTCCAGTTCTGTCAGGTTTCCCACCACATCTCTGCAGTCAGAGACCAGATCCTCCAGACGGTCCTGCAGACACTCCAGCTCCTGGCCAGCCTCTGTTTTTTCACTACACCACTTCCCCAGGTCAGTCATGCACCTTCTCTGTAGCTCCGGGTCCAGCTTCACATCCAGCGCCCTCTGGTGGAGAATCCTCTGCACCTCCACCTTACAGTCCCGGGACAGCTGTGGGTTAAACAAGAGAGGATTCAGTTCCACCTTCAATTGCTTAGACATGACTGACACGCGCGCGCACGCACGCACGCGCACGCGCACACGCACACACACACACACACACACACACACACACACACACACACACACACGTCGCTGATGGAAGTGTTCAGGTTATGGAACCACTGAAGAAGAACCAGGTGTTTAACTGCAAACATGATGTAACCTCGACAACTAAACCAGCCGTAGCTGCAGTAGCAAAACATTTATGGCACATTTACACTATAGTCAGCTTAGTCGGCCCTGGTAAGCTCAGCGCATTCACACTGGTGTTGTCCGCACAGAACCGACCGCTGTCATTGACCCTGCTATCCTGCCATTTGTTTTGTGCTGAGCCAACCACTCACACCCACGTTTGGATCGGTTGGCCGGCTGGAGTAGCGTCACTCTCACACTTCTGGCTATCTTCACAACATTTGTGATCAACTTGATAGTAAACAGGTAAAAATATTACACACTGGGGCTTTAAAACTTATAGAATTCAGTACCCATCCCTATGTCTACCTACTAGTGGGAGCTTCTGAATAACGCCCAACCAAACCCAAATAAACAGTCAGCAACCAGGCATGTTGTGCCTGAAGTTTGTTCATCAAAAATAGCCACAGTCTGAGTACAGAGTATAAAAGTACTTCAACTTCTTCCTTTGTTCTTAACAGTTTTCTAGACCAACTTATCCCACTCGTCTCAACTGACTGTGCTCCCATCTGCTCTTGTTTATGTGGTGCTAATGAATGACACCAAAGACTAGGGATGTACGTAGCTAACCGGTTAATTGCAGTTAATGATGGGCATGTTAGCCGTCATCCCACTCTCTTTACTTTTTGTTCATAAATGTAATGAGTGTGGGACTTTAGTTGTGCATCAGAATTATATTAAGAAGAGTAGACGGAAAAGGGTTATTTATAGAGCAGGGACAAATGTTCGTGTGTGTGTGTTTGGAGGGGGTGGGGGGTTACCGGTTAACTGACTATTAACCGTTAAGGGTGTCAATAGCCGGTTAAAGAAACTTTGAAAAACGTGCAACCCTACCAAAGACCTCTCCTCACCACTTCAACGGAGCCCACTCATGTCCTCGTTCCACACAAGGTCATGTAAACACAACCTGGCTGCGCCAGGCCATGGCGGAGCGGGCTGGCCTGGCCTGGCCCAGGCCTATTGACCATTCTGTGAAAATGGGTTAAAGCTAAAATTCCCAACCCAGGAGAAGAAGCCTATTAGATGAGCATTGCTCAGTAAGAGTAGAAGTCCAGAGACTTACCCTCCTGCCTTGCTCCACTGAGCGATAGGCGTGTCGATACAGGCAGGAGAAAATGGCTCCAGGAGGCATCACCTCGTTGGTGTCGTTCCAGCCGCGGGTGTGGCAGAGCCGCCCCGCATCTCCTTGACACTTTTTATACAGGATCGGGTCTAATCTGAGGAACAAAACGCAGTTTTACACCACACATCTGGAAAACCACACCGATTAGAAAAACCTGGCCTACAGCCGATACAGCAACAAATCGATACGCCATAAAACCATGTACCGTATTTTCACAACCATATGGCGCACCTAAAAGTCTTAAATTTTCTCCAAAATGTATGCTGCGCCCTATGGTGCGGTGCACCTATTGTGTTGTTGTGAGACGCGAACGTAGAAGAAGACAAGGGGCGTGGCGTGAACATGCGGACGTGAGCGAAGACAGACCTGTAGATCTGCCTCATCGTCATCAACATCCTCGCTATTTGCCTCAGACTCCGGCTGTGAGTCTCCGTCCACTTCCTCTGCTTCCAGTTCAAAAAACAGCTGAACTATCTGAACTGCCTGGTGGACATTTATCCTTCTCATCATCCTTTATATAAGCCTAATAAAAGCCTGCTAAACTGCAGCGACAATATATCTGTCCGGATCGCTCCAAAATATGAAGTTTACCGTCAATATCTGTCTAATTGTTTGTTGTTACTCCGTTCGCGCCACTACTTTCCCCGCGAAGCGGCTCCTTTTTGCGCACATCTCGTTACTCAGCTACATAATGATACTTTTTATCAATTGAATATGTGAGACGTCCACCAACAGCAAAAGGATCTCATGTTTTTGTGGGTTTTTATGTTCACAAGCACATTCCCGCTCACGGATTACTAAACTGCTGTTTTGACAAGTTATCAGATTGTCTAAAAATAGGTCGTTTTTTAGTATAACTCAGCTTTTATGTTGCCTATTAACAAAACTTAAAAACTGGGGTGTAGTTTATGATCTCCTTTTTAAAGCTGAATTGAAACCGAAACTCAGGGAGGCGGAGTCTTGCTGCTACAGCTTCCCAAATCAGACCTGTTCAAAAGATGCAGATACGCGTCCAGGGACCCCAGAGGGTTCATTAAACACAATTCAAATCACACTATTTTCTTAGGCCTATTAATAACACACATATGATTTTGTTCATGTGGAAAGTTTATGTGGTTAAATCCACCAACTACCGGTAAACACATTCTGAACTTCAACACAGCGCATCAGCACTTGAAGCAGCGCAGCGAGCGGCTGCGACCCAAAAAGTACCAGAACTGCTCACGGCGCATGCGCAATCCTGCATCAACACCGCTCGCCCGCTATTTCCCTAATAACACACGCTGTTCGTTTTTATTTCTACACGTTGTTTTACACACAAAGATTGTCAAGAAAGCGTGCTTGTCGTGTTCATGTCAAATTAAACTGATCACAAAACACAGATTTACTTTCTTTATTTCGTTTTCCTCATCCAACCCCCATAAATCCCTGTGTGTCCTCCTGCAGCACTCCCGGTGTACGCCCGGCTTTACAGGTGCTGGCCAGTAAATTAGAATATCATCAAAAGGTTGAAAATATTTCAGTAATTCCATTCAAAACGTGAAACTTGTACATTATATTCATGCAATGCACACAGACCAATGTATTTCCGATGTTTATTACGTTTAATTTTGATATTTATAGGTGACAACCAATGAAAACATCAAATCTGGTATCTCAGAAAATTAGAATATTCTAAAGGCCAATGAAAAAATGTTTGTTTCTCTAATGTTGGCCAACTGAAAAGAATGAACATGAAAAGAATGTGCATGTATAGCACTCAATACTTAGTCGGGGCTCCTTTTGCCTCAATAACTGCAGTAATGCGGCGTGGCATGGACTCGATCAGTCTGTGACACTGCTCAGGTGTTATGAGAGCCCAGGTTGCTCTGATAGTCGTCTTCAGCTCCTCTGCATTGTTGGGTCTAGCGTATTGCATCCTCCGCTTCACAATACCCCATAGATTTTCTATGGGGTTAAGGTCAGGCGAGTTTGCGGGCCAATCAAGGACAGGGATACCATGGTCCTTGAACCAGGTGCTGGTGGTTTTGGCACTGTGTGCAGGTGCCAAGTCCTGTTGAAAGGTGAAGTCTGCATCCCCATAAAGTTGGTCAGCAGCAGGAAGCATGAAGTGCTCTAAAACTTCCTGGTAGACGGCTGCATTGACCCTGGACCTCAGGAAACAGAGTGGGCCAACACCGGCAGATGACATGGCACCCCACACCATCACTGACGGTGGAAACTTTACACTGGACCTCATGCAACGTGGATTCTGTGCTTCTCCGCTCTTCCTCCAGACTCTGGGTCCTTGATTTCCAAAGGAAATGCAGAACTTGCTTTCATCAGAAAACATAACTTTGGACCACTCAGCATCAGTCCAGTCCTTTTTGTCCTTGGCCCAGGCGAGACGCTTCTTGCGCTGTTTCTTGTTCAAGAGTGGCTTGACACACGGAATGCGACACCTGAATCCCATGTCTTTCATGAGTCTCCTCGTGGTGGTTCTTGAAGCGCTGACTCCAGCTGCAGTCCACTCTTTGTGGATCTCCCCCACATTTTTGAATGGGTTTGTCGTCACAATTCTCTGCAGGGTGCGGTTATCCCTAGAGCTTGTACACTTTTTTCTACCACATTTTTTCCGTCCCTTCGCCTGTCTGTTAATGTGCTTGGACACAGAGCTCTGCGAACAGCCAGCTTCTTTAGCAATCACCTTTTGTGTCTTGCCCTCCTTGTGCAAGGTGTCAATGATTGTCTTTTGGACAGCTGTTAAGTCAGAAGTCTTCCCCATGATTGTGGTGCCTTCAAAACAAGACTGAGGGACCTTTTAAAGGCCTTTGCAGGTGTTTTGAGTAAATCAGCTGATTAGAGTGGCAGCAGGTGTCTTCTATATTCAGCCTTTTCAGAATATTCTAATTTTTTGAGATACCAAATTTGGAGTTTTCATTAGTTGTCACTTATGAATATCAAATTTAAATGTAATGAACATTGGAAATACATTGGTCTGTGTGCATTGCATGACTATAATGTACAAGTTTCACGTTTTGAATGGAATTACTGAAATATTTTCAGCCTTTTGATGATATTCTAATTTACTGGCCAGCACCTGTAGTAGGAGGGAGACCCGCGATTATCGCTTTGTCGCACGTGTCTCATTGAAAATGAATGGAGAGGCGAAGTTGCCTCCCGTGTGTCGAGCCCATTAGAAGAGCACGAGCAGTCAGCGTACGCAATGAGGAAGTGCACGTGCGCTCTAAACCAGGTCTGAACCAGGACTAGACCAGTAAAGTGAAACATGCTTTTGGCTGTTTATAATTTTCACAATGTCTGGTTTGCACCGATATGTTCCGAGTCCCGAGCCCGCACAGATGTTTTACCGGCATGTTTTACCGCGCCCGCGCCCACGCCCTATAACCCGGTGCACCTTTTGTATGTGTTAAATACCAAAAAGACTCCCTAACTCAAGCCGCGCCCTATAACCCGGTGCACCCTATGGTCGTGAAAATACGGTAATTCAAAAAAAGATGAACAAGCCTGCTGTTGAAGCTGTTTTAAAGTTGAACAAATGCATAAAGAGCATGATGACTATCTTTAGTGTCACTATTATGAGGAAATGTTTGTTTCTTGGTGTGAGTTATACGGAGCCTCGTCAGGGGTCTGAAGAGCCACGTGGGGCTCTAGAGACACTTGTGCTAACTGGCAACTTGCTTACTTCCAGTCTCTGGCGATAAAGTACTGCAGCTCTAACAGTCTGTGTTCACAGTCCTCCACCATCTTCTCAGTGTACAGATGTTCCATCAGACACGACAGGATCCTGCAGGACCAACAACAGACATTCAGTTTAATGTCCACTAAGCAAAAGGTCCAAACCACAGGCTACGATTAATCAGTGTAGGGCCTCACATGGGATCTCCATTGCGGATGTGTTTACAGGCAGTCTGAATGACAGATTCACAGGCCTCATTCAGAGCTCTGTCGATGCGATAGTCAGCTCCAGGGTCAGCTTCCTGAATCAGTGTCTGAAGCTGAAAACAGCAACAAAAAACTCTTTTCACATACATTATGTAGCGTAGTTAATCTACGCTGTTGCTATGCAGCTATGCTAAATCCTGAGAAAGATCAAACGATTTGGTAATGAAACTTATATCATATATATATATGAATATATCCACGGATTTTATATAACTGATAGAAGTTCATACACCAACTGGCTTGATCTATATTTAATCAAAAGATTAATATTTAATTTAAGAGATTTAAATTAATAGCAAAAGTTTATTTATTCAGAAGATTTAAAGAGATCTTTGCTCGTTCAGTGACCAAATATACACCACTCTGTGTCTTATTTCAAGGAAGAGTCAGGTTTAAAAAGTTAAGAATTTATTAATAACAATTAAAAGATCACGATTTAAAAGACAATTCCTAAATAACAATTTATAAAAGCTCTGGTATTAAAACTTGGTATTAAAGCAATCTGTGTCTGGTGAGACTAAAAATGAAGTGTGTGTGTTGGATGTGTGAATGAGGTCTCAGAAGGTTTCGATCAGAGAGAAAAACGCGTTCTGGGTGAAAGAATTTGGTTTGCAGTTAAGCTAAATTATTTCTTAATAAAAGGCATTCCAGACGCAATCTGTGCTCTACCTCACTGTCAGACGACCCTCCAAGGGAGGATGTTGATCAGCCTCTGGTACTCGGTCCGGTAGAGGAGACCAGTGGTACCGACTCCCTGGTCCTAGAGTTGCCGCAGGCACACAGGAGGATGGTTTTGCGTCTTAAATTAACTCTGAAGGAGTTTTGCATCAGCTTTGCTGCAGATGGCGTTTCTTGTTGAAGTACTGTAATTCTATCGGCGTGACAGAAAAGCTTTAGTAGAGGGTTCGAGCGGCCGACCCGATCCTCTGGGACTCTCGTTGCCACGGAGAGAATTTTGGTGAGCTCAAGAACTGAACTTGAACTGAGAAGTTTTGGTTTTAGCAAACCTCAGGACACGCCCTCTCAGAGATAGAAAGCTTTGGTGTTATGGAACAAAGACGTGTGAGAGCAGTTACCTTTAACCTGATTTCTGTGTCCTGCATGGTGTGTACAAGTGCACATGACCTTCTTTACACTGTTAAACATTACTGATTATCATAAATAATAATCATAATGAACCTTGATGATTATTTATGAACCTTGTAATAAGACAATGAAAAGAGTTTATTAAAAATGATTGTTTAATCTTAAAGTGTCCTTCATCTTGTGGACGGAACAGCAGTCAGATTAAAGATGGTTTACAGCAGACTCTGTCTCCTGTAACGGATAATCTGTAGATAGTACAGCCAGTACAGCTTGACCCAGCTGAGGAAGTGTGACCTTTGGGTCACAAATGAGGCCATTCATGTCGCTACAATTAAAACCAGAGAACATGGAACACGTTCTTTACTGCAGGAACCTAGGGACTGTACCAAAGAATCAATGCAAGTCCAAAAGAGAATGAAGCAGAATAAACCAGTCTTCAGATCTACACGATTTACATCAACGCCGTATTTGGCATCAAAAATAGTGATTTTTGCCTAGAAGCTACCGGTTTACATTTATGTAGCCCAGCACTGAGCTCACACTAGCCCTTAGTTTCTCTTGCTTTTAACTCTTTAGCTAAGATTAGCTGCTAGATCGTGAGCCCTGAAGGAGGTAAACTAATTCTCTGACTGCTGGTGAAGGTCCTTGATAAGTTGCAGGTTCAGAAAAAAAAAAAACAGATGAAAGGTGTTACGAGTGTGTGAAGAGTTGGAAACAAAGTGGTTTTGTTGTGGCTAAATCAGACAGGACTGTAGTAACCAACCATGTTGTGAGTCTAGTGGGGGTTCTGGACAGGTGTGTGAAAACATGACTTACTGCCTTCTGACAGTTTGGCTCAATGGCTCCCATGTCACCTCGGCCGACCCTCATCAGGCAATGCAGTGTTCTTCCTTTCCGGTGCAAGCCGGAACAGTGATCCTCGATCTCAGTGCGGCACTGCAAAACGATCTCAGGACTCAGGGAGAAGTCCTCCATCAGCATCCGCCTGTAGTCCATCATCTCGCCCTGACACTCACCGCTAACCACGCGGCCTGAAACGCATCAGCAACAGATTTAGTCGTCAGGTTCAACGCCTAATGGAGGGTCTAAAAACAATAACTCCTCCTTCAGTAATGCACATCTCATCTACTATGGAAGATATATCTTTTGTTCTTCTCACTCTCAAGCCCTGACCTCTCACCGCTATCTACTGAGGTCAGTGTCCGGAGCTCACAGAACCATAACTAGCAACACCAATAGCAGTCAGCTCTGTTCTGACCCAATTACCTCTGTGAACAGCAGCCTCCAGACACAGCAGCAGGTAGGACAGACGAGTATCTCGGGCTCGAGACATGTTGGCGTCCACATTGCAGCGGTACTTCCTCAGGTCTGACTTGCATGCTTTAGCCAGGGAGTAGCTCACCTTGTAGTCCTGAGCTATCAGCTTCTGCCGAGTAGTCAGCGCCTCACGGCACTACAACACACAAACACATGCTCAACCCTCCTGACACCGAACAGTGGGCATGACTTCACATCATCCTGTGTCATATGATTATGTCATTCAGGAACAGTATTCCAGACAATGGGGACGTCTCCATCCGAGTCACACAACTAGATAAAGAGCAGTTCTCACCCTCTCAGACATGGCCTCCTCAAACTTATGATTGAAGAGACATTTGTAGACACGGCCCTCCCCAGCCAGAGTCTGAAAAATGAAAAAAACGCAGTCAAGAGTTATATAACTGCTCCGTCAAAACAACTAAATCAGGTTTTCAGAGTTTAACACAGAAGGACCCAATCACGTGACTCAGGCCCACACCTCTGGGCTGAGACAGAACTGGACTAAGTGCTACAGTGGTATCTGTCTGGACAGACCAGGAATCAGACCGTCAGCATCAGGATCACATCTTTATCTTTATTTATGAACATCAGCTCTTTAATGAAGAGATCAGCTGCAACTCAACTGACCCACACCAGCCTCATTAACAGCAAATCAATTAAGATGTTTCCATAAGCAAACATCCTCACGTTTTCACAGAAGCGCTCTCGGTCTTCTCTGCAGGCGAAGTACAGGTAACGATCCAGATGAAAGTCATCCGAGGACAGTTCTGCTACTCTCATAATGGACTTTTTGCACTCATCCCTGATGTGGTGTGCACCGTGCTTCTCCTCAGCCTCACGAACCAAACCTTTCTCCAGACAGGCAATCACCTCCCCCTGAGAGTGGACATCCTGTAGAGGAACAGACAGTCTGAAGGGATCCCACAGTTCATCACCACGTTTACCTTGTTGTTGTTGAACATTGACAGCTCGGGATGTCTAATGCAGCATTCCACAAAGCCTTGTTGTCTCCAACCTGCTTTCCTATGTAAAGCAGCAATGTTGTAATAGCCGCTGAGAAACCGTTCATTCTGGGAAAAACTGGTTTAACATGTCACACGCTTAGGCACACACCCTTATATTTGCATTTTTTTTTACCCTTAGGAAATTGTAGATAACTTTGAATGTTGCCATGTTGGCCCTAAGCAGGTATGTGGAGAGACCTGACCCCAGATCTATCTGTGGAGGTTGTGTAACTCACCTTTTCTCCAGTGGTGATGCTGCCACAACGAAGAGTGTTGATGTCCTCACGACACTTGTCCATGAAGCCACAGATGAGTCGGTAGTCGCTAAAGACTATGCTGGTCATCTTGGTGATGTACTGGTTGCACTGGTAGTCTGTGATGTTTCCACGATGTTCAACCAGGCAGGAGACCAGATAGCCTTTACCCAGCTCCTCAGTAGCACACTCTTTGATCTGAGTAGAAACATTCACAAGGTTTCACTGCTTCATATGGAAAAACACGACTATGAACGAGTGACATGAGGAGAATTCTGTCTACTGGTACATCTGACTCATTCAAGACCGTCTTCTTATCCATCACCATCAACTACTCCCAAAAGAGTCACGTTCCTCTGAGGGCCCATGTCAGGAATCTGGAGAGCTAAAGGGATGTTTATTTAACCTCCAGAGGGAGGTGTTACGGTACGCTGCCACATAACGCTGGCAGATCTGAAATAAACACAAGGCTGTTCCATAAGGCCAAAAATATCAGACGATGGAGCGAAAGCATCTACACCCCATCACTGTGATTCAAGTATGAACTCTGGTCCCGCTCCAGACCAATCATCTAATTTTGTCTCACTCTCCAGAGTTCCATCTGACCCATTTATGACCAATCTGTAGTTTTGACACACATGGGACACCTGAAATAATGGTCAGCACCTGCCACCAAAACCAATACTTGTATCCTTATCACACATCTGTGTGAAGTGACTCAGGTGGAGTGGGGGGTGGTAAATCCACCAGGAATCACCATTTGAGGTGGCAGCAGAGGTAGTCACAGAACTGATTATGTGGGAAGGTGTGATGGGTGGAGTCTGTAGCACTCTACTGGTTCTCAGAGGTGAGATTCAGGACAGTAGGGCTGGGCAATATGGCCTAAATTCAATATCACGACATATTGAGGATTTCACCTCGATAACGATAAATGGACGATAACTACAGGTACGCGCAGAAACAAAAGCTGTCGCATGTATTACTTTGAGTCACATTTTTAAGTGATCCAAGGTGGTACCGCTTCTTAAAGAAACATGAACGCTGCCAACCTACACACATCTTTTCATTTTTTTATTATCAAATTTATTAACACCGGAAAAATTATCTCGATTAGAGTCAGAAATTTCTATAACGATAAATTTTTGATTTATTGCCCAGCCCTAGTAGGCAGACATCCTCGAGGGTTTTTTAGGTCAAATATAAAATAATACAATCCAAAAAAGCAAATTCTCACAGGAAAACAAAACAAAACACACCAACGCCTCTAAATTTCACTTTCTGCTGTCGGACAAGACCCCACTTCAGCAGGTAACTGGGTATCTGTTTTTGGAAGCTGATCTAAATATCCTCATGTCAGGTTGGAGCTTGGACTTGGACTGACCTCAGGAATGGTCATCTTGCAGACCTCCACAGCTACAGACTCGAACTTTGGGTCAGTGGTCAGGTTTAACTTGTAGTTCCACAGCAGCTGGAGGAGAGAGCATAAAGAGTTTGTTACACAGATCCAAACAAACCAGCGTGACTCAGAAACTGGTCTCCTCTTAAGTTTGTTTACTCAATGAAGACAAACTGAAACAGTAAAACTAAGCTGTTGAGTCATGAAACTTCACACACACGCATAAGAGAAATGAGAAGTGGTGTGTCTAGGAAGGTGTACTTACATGGTTGCACTCAGTAGCTATCTCAGTGTCCTGAAAATGGAAAGAGAGGTTAGTGTGACCTTATTCAACTTTAGGATTGTTTCTGATTATTGGCTAAATAAATCAGTGGAACTGTGGATAATTAATCTCAGATTATCTGGGGCAGCTGTGGGTAGAGGGTTTGCCTGCCAATCAGGAGGTTTGTTATTTGATACCAGCTTCTCCAGCCCACACTTTATCACATAACTGGTGTTAGCGCCAATAAGAGGCACCTGACCGATGGAAATTTGACATTGTAGCAAAGTTTCATTATTAGCAGAGCGGGAACTCTAGAGAGAGCAGGTCTTCAGTGAGTAGCTCCTGAGTAGGGTTGGGCATCGAGCATCCACTGGAACAGGAACTGTCAATTTTTCCCAGAATCGTTCAAAGTTTTTTTATTTCGATTTCTAGAATGTCGACTGGAAGAAGAACCTGCGGCCGATCTCCGAGAAAAAAAGTGTGCTCTGCAAATTCTGATCAACGCCTTTCAGAGCTGATCACACCAGCTGTCTGTTGGTCCTACTTTGCAGCCCACAGAGACCGTGAGAGCAGCGCTGCATCGCCCTCCCTTCCTTCCTTCAAACTGTGCAGACACGCGGCGGCAAAACTGTAAACAAACGCGTCTGCCAAACTTTCTCCGTAATGTAAAGTTTAGTTCCTGCAGTGACAAATATGGTGGAGGAAGCTCGTTAAAATATGTCAGCACAGTGGATTTAATAGAAGTTTTAAAGGACAAACTCTGGGCGGAGTGAAGTGAGGATTAATTAATTAATTAATTAATCAATTAATTAATTATCTCACAAGACGTAAAGTTGTGAGATTTTTTTTATTATTTGAACCATTTAGTCTGTTGAGAGTTTTAATGTTTTAAATCTGTTAGATTGTTACTGATAGAAGATGCCATATGCTCGAACCAAAAATGTCCATGGTTGACAAACGTGTGTCAAACTGTTGAAAATACAAATTTTCAGGCACTTTTCCTTTTTACTTCACAATTAATGCAAAATTGAGCGCATGTAGGGGAATTCCAGACCTTTTCCCCTGAGATCCCTCAATTTAAATAAGCTAATATGCCACGCAAGTGTGGCTTTTCTCCCAGTGTAATCAAAAGTCATGCCTGTACAAGTGGTGCTGGAGAGAAACGTAACAGAACGTGAGTCGTTGGAGTTACTTCTACATGCTGTCAATGTGTGTTAAACATCGTGTCTGACATGATGACCACAGCATCTGAAGAGTAAATGCCATCAGAGCAGTGCAGTGAAGCGGTAAAAACAAGTCAACTCAAACTGTGCTACAGTGGTAATGACTGTTTCTATTACTGTGGTCATCTAACAGCTTAAACACAACATAGTGGGTCAACAGGAAGCTGTGTTCGTAGCCCAGCCCTCTGGTCCTACATGGAGTTGAATTTTCAGGTGATATTCGTTTGTCTTTGCTGAAAACACTTTTTGAAAGGAACAGCACCATGTGAGGTGGTTCCTAGTGTTATTTAGCAGAAAAGCAGTGGAACGAAGTGGTACAAAAACCAGTGGAATGGTCACCCTCCTTTCTTTGGTCAAAGATTTCTGCACCACGTACACAAAACCACAGCTGGCAGCAGGTCGGCCACAGAAACAAAAACATGCAACGGCCCTTCATCTGCCCTGGAGCAAGAGAACAGCAGCGAAAGCAAGACGAGCTGGTTTAGACAGTCAGACACAAGGTGGGCAGGAAGGTCAAGCTGTTAAGTGATTGCTATTAGCTTCATCGCAGTGGATGAGAAAACACCTAACGTTAGATCTGTTTTGAAAAAGATTCAGATCTATATCCGAAACATTTTGAAATTGGTTAAAAAAAAAGCATTGTTTATGACAGTTGTAATTAAACTTTCAACCAGCAGGGTGGAGAAGCTGGAAACTATTTAGATTTACTTTAAAGTCTCATGGATGTCCGTTAAAGCAGCATCATTGGGTTTTGTTTGCTAAAAAGGTTGGAGTTACAGTAAATAGAAGTTACAAGTACTTGTTTTTTTTCTGTGTGTGTAATACTAGAGTGAATCAATAGCAAACCACCTTCAGCCAATGTTTGGTTAGTCTCAAATTATTTTGTTTTCACAGACATTAATTCAATTTTAAAGATCATATTAATATAACGACTCTGGATGACATTCATGGGTGAACACATTTGAGCAAGTCCAGAATTGTGACTGCTGACAAATTGGACTTGGGGGACTTGGTGCTGCACACAGAGCTGGTGTGATCCACTCTGAAAAGTGTTGATCACAATTTGCAGATCACGTTTATTTTTCAGAGATCGGCCACAGATTCCTCTTCTGTCGGCACACTAGGAATCGAAATAAAAAAAACTTTGAATGATTCCGGGAAAAATGAACAGCTGGAACCGGTTCCAATCGATGCTCGACGCCCAAGTCAAAATGAGAACTCTGGTTTTCTTTCCTTTAACAATCCTAAACAATAATCCTGCTACCCCTGTGGTTCGGACACATTAACATTCAACCGTATTTACAAGTAAATTAACAGACAATGGCCAAACGTAACAAATGACCTGCAGTTTTCAGAAGAAATGCCCAAGATAGAGCTGTTCTAAACCTCAGAAACACATCACCTGCTCTCAGGAAGAACCTTAAGGTCTCATATAGGGAGCTTAAGTCACGCCCATCTACTTCCGGACCACGGGTTCCCGGAAGAACGAAAAAATAAATGCAAGTCAATGGGGCTAAAAAATCTGTGCTTAATCATTATGGCTTTAATATGAATATTGCTCTTACAATGATCCATTTCAGATCTTATCTACAACAGATGTGTTTGATTTAACAAGTTAATCAATATCTACACTCATACACATTACAATAAGATACTTATGTTAATTTTCACTTTACATAAGTGTTTTAAAGCATTCTCATTCACAAAGTGTGAAACACCTTTGTATGTGAACAAGGCGTGTCTTCCGAGGAATGTTTGGTAAAACCCTCAAAACATGTCACAATCTGACTTGCCAGAATGCACCAAAATGCAGGGTTTCCCCCAGCGCTTTATAAGCCCACCCGCCAGGCTAAGTGTCATGCTCCGCCCCCCTCCCCGACCCTACCGTGTCCGCTGACATGAACGGCGCAGCGACTTTTATAAACAATCCTTAGCTCGTCAAACAAACATCCGAATTCTTTTCAACCCAGACTTCACAAACTCTCTCAGACAAATGACCCACACTTGTATAGCGCCTCTCAGAGTAAGGACTCTAAAGTGCTTTACACTACAGTGTAAACACACACATTCACACACTGTCAGACAGACGGAGGCGAGGCGAGGCTGTCGAGCACTGGTGCCACCGGTCCCTCCAACCACCACCAGCAGGCAAGGTGAGTTATGCGTCTTGCCCAAGGACACAACAGCAGAATTCTCTGTCCGGAGTCAGGATCGAACCTGCAACCTTCCGATTACTGAACAACCCAATACAAAGAATGGTTTTGCTACATCTAGCTTCCATTACAACATTTCACACATCACATTAAATCACTTCATATCCATTGCATCACACCTCATTATTCATATCTTGTCATGTATGATCATTAGTTTAGGAAAAATAATTAAAGTAATTTTATAAACTCTATACTTGACTGTCTGAATTAATACGAAGTGTGTTTATGGTCCCTGAAGAAGCAAATAACCATGAAATCTTCTGATTAAACATTCAAAGATCAGGTTGATATTTCATATTTATATGGAATCATCACATCTTATTGGTTATTATTAATATGTAGAGTCAACATTCATTTCACTACAAAATGTACCAGAAATGAGGATTTAAAAAGGCATAAAAAGTTAGTTACAAGTAGACCCAAGCACATACTGAGCATTGGGTAAACACTTCAGGGTGCATGAAAAATCCAACTTTTTAAACTATATGGGTCATAACCTAAAAGAAGATGTATTTATTTGTGATATCACCTCTGTGCCAGATCATTTAAAGCCCTAGTATACTCACTATCATCCATCACGTTGTGTTCTATAGTGGAGCAAAACACTTCATGTCCCCCATTTGAGTTTTGCGTGACTATGAGTAAAACCCAGCAATACTATATATAAATATTTAGGCTAGCCACCACCCACAGAAAGAGTTTGGTCATGGGGCAAAATCTTCGGTTGTCCTTCAAACCGTCTCTGCAGCACACAAGTCTAAGTCCTAAGTTGATGACAAAGCAGACTGAAATGCGCACTACTCCTGAGCTGACATCACGGTTGTAATATTTCTTCATCACAGCTCTGGTGCTAAGCCAGCCCAACGTCTCTACTAACAGAGCGTGGTTTGGCTGGATCTAAAATTGTTCAGACCAATGATAAAATTGTTACTAGAGATGTCCAGATCCGATGACGTGATCGGACATCAGTCCTGATCGTGTGGTGTCAGACTCGGGGTGGGTACTCGGATACAGGGCTCACATTACAGGAGAGCTAAGGGGAACCCAGTTATCCTGAAAGGTTGTCGGGCTCCCCTGAAGAACCTGAACTTATACACCCAGAGGGGACCCGGGAAAAAATCCAGTTTCTACCTATATTACATTATTTATATGGACTCTCAGCGTAACGGGGATTCTTTTGAGCAGAGACAGGGAAAAGCAGAGAGAGGCAGAGCACTGACTATTCATGCGCTCCGGGCAGCTGCATCCTGCGCACGGCCAAAGTAACATTCTCAAAGTGGCGCCACCCAAAAAATATATAATTAACACACACACGTCTGCTCATATTCTCTCTGGTAACTTCTGTCTTTTATTTGGGATTTCTGGTAGATTTATCCCACTACATGTTTTCCCTTTATATAGCAATAATTTATCAGCATGTAATATTTAAATATTTGATATAAACAACATCACATTAAAACCCAGTCCCACACCCAGGATCGTATCAAAGCATTTTGGGGATAAGGCAAAACTGTCCCCTGCCAAGTATTTTAAGTTCAGGTGCTTTTAGTTTTTTCCTCCTCTGCTGCCCGCAGATAAACGGAGAAGGAAGTGACGCGCCACCATCAGCGTCAGTCTGAAGAAGTCGGCAGCCGTTGGCGAAACTGTAGCTACAAAACAGGTAAACAAAACTGTTTCTGTGTTTAAAAAGAACGAAAGCATGGAATTAGAACCACGACACAGCAAGAACACACCCAAGATGCTTTTAGTTTTTATTTTGGACTTTTTTTTATATTTGAACTAAAGTCTAAAAAGTAAAGAATTTATGTTATTTAATAATAATCATCATCATCATCATCATCTAACTTCTATAGCGCTTGTTTAGGACACTCAAAGATGCTACCATGCACTCTCACATTCACACACTGCTAGTGATGGTAAGCTACTTTGTAGCCACAGCCGCCCTGGGGAGGTCTGACAGAGGCAAGGCTGCCATTTGGTGCCGTCGGCCCCTCTGACCACCACCAACACAGGCAAGTTGGGTGAAATGTCATGCCCAAGGACACAACAGCAGAATACCCCTGGCTGGCTGGAATCAAACCCATGACCCTCTGATCATGAGGCAACCTGCTCTACCACCTGAGCCCCCTTGGCAGCAGTAGCTTGATTGTTCAAGCCATCTCACAGAAGTGATCATGTTGTTAATTAAATAAAGATAATTAGGCACATTCTTGATCTGTTTGTTTATTATTTTTTAATGTATCGAAAGTATTGGATCGGGACTCCTATCGACAGATTCTCAAAATCAAATGACTCTTGAGGCAAATAAACCTGATCGGGACACCCCTACTTGCTACTGCTTGACTAGATTTCTAGGCTGCATGTTTCCCTCTTTGGATTAGAATAAGTGAAACCGGGCTTGAAACTAAGGGGACTGGGCAATTATTTATGCAAAATTTGGTTTAATTTGCTTTAAAATGTGCAACGGCATGACTTTCTAGAGGGGCTGGTAAGCACACCATGAATCAGCAGGACACCTGAAAAAAATGGTCTAAATTATTCAAGCCATCAAAGTTAACGTGTTTTTGCGCACACACATTCATTAAGACCGAAAAACATTAAATCTCTTTTTTTGTTCTACTTAAAAACTCACTAATATGCATTCTGCGTGTGTGCAACTTTCATTAAAGATGCAGAACACAGAAAAACATGTTTAATGGTTATTTCTGATTATAACCGGTGAGTTTTTCATGCAGGCTGAAGATGAAAATAGTCTCCTACAACGATCTCCTGCATTAGCTTCTGATAGTAAATAGACGGTGAAACGATATGAAAAGTCTGACGTACGTCACACTGTCACTTAACATTGATGCACTCACCCATCTTGGCTCACGACTGGTAAGGCTGTTATTTAGCATTTAGCTGTTTTGCAGAGCAAACAGAGTCAGTGGTTGAGTCGTATTGTTTTATCCAATCTGAGGCAAGATGTCCAGATACAAAGAAATGAGACTCGAAATAAGTCTGAAGATACTTTCTTCTCCAGTCGACTTCTACTTCCTTAAACAGGCGCATCAGAGGTTCTCCCCCACTTAAATGTATTGATTTAACGAGTGAAACGCATCTTGAACCCCAAGCTAGTTCAGGAACAGCTGCTCCAAACTTCAGTTCATAATTTTCCATGTCTAACTAAAGTGCAAACATCACAACTTTAATCAAATTTACTGCTTTACAGTCATCTAAATAAACTATTCCTGGTTATCTGGTAAGCGTTTCAGCCCAGTGGTAAGCCAAAGCTAAAAACACTTGAGCTAGTAGCTTAACAGCCAGTAGCTCTGAAGAATAGCCAGTTCTGAGCCAGCTTCACGCCGACTTAATCTTTCACCCACACTTTGGCGTGCCCGGAGACAGTTCTCACTTTGTTTTGCAGTGTCGTAAAACTACAATTAAAACTCACTTTTGCTGCACTCGTCGGGTGAAATTTCACATCACGTTCTGAAAATACTAGCAGCAAGCTAGTCAGCATAGCATCTAACGGTGGGTGGTTTAACAGGCACACCCAAGTTCCGAGCAGCACTAAACGAAGCCAGTCCCGATTATTTACCTCTTTCTTGTCCTGGAGACACTCTAGGACCGCCAGGTTATTGTTCCAGGAATGTTTGGGGCAGAGCCGACTGAGGTCTTCTCTGCATACCGCCTCCTCAGACAGCTTCCACCCGGCAGAGCGCTTCCGAGTCAGCGAGGCCGCTGCAGCCTGACTCTTTTCAGCGACAGCTGGGATACCCGGGGCTGCTCCAGGACCTTTGCCTTGGATTGTAAACTTATCAGCATTATTAGCGAGTTTGGCAATTAAGCTTTCAGATTCAACATGGAGAAAAAACAATAAACTGCAGTAGAAAATCTCAAGCAGAGGTACACGTCTACAGTTCGCCATCTTCACAGGACCACTACTGCTGACGCGTTCAGGTCCATCCGGAAGTAGAAGTCACTTGCCAGCTGACGCTTTCAGGGCCACGCGGAAATAGGGGAATTGATAGCAATGGTGCTTCTCTTATGAATGTATAAACTATCCTCCAAATTGGGCTAAGCAATGTTATCTGACGAATTTACTCGTATTACTGGCCACACACACACACACACACACACACACACACACACACACACATATAATGTATATATATTGTATATATAATGTATGTATGTATATATATATATATATATATATATATATATATATATATATATATATATATATATATATATATATATATATATATATATTGTATATATATAAGCTCAACTCCCAGTCCTACTGCCAGTTTCTGGAAGACACCTTCTTCAAGCAGTGGTACAGGAAGAAGTCTGCATCCTTCAAGAAAAACATGATTTTCATGCAGGACAATGCTCCATCACACGCGCCCAAGTACTCCACAGCGTGGCTGGCAAGAAAGAGTATAAAAGAAGAAAAACTAATGACATGGCTTCCTTGTTCACCTGATCTGAACCCCATTGAGAACCTGTGGCCCATCATCAAATGTGAGATTTACAAGGAGGGAAAACAGTACACCTCTCTGAACAGTGTCTGGGAGGCTGTGGTTGCTGCTGCACGCAATGTTGAAGGTGAACAGATCAAAACACTGACAGACTCCATGGATGGCAGGCTTTTGAGTGTCCTTGCAAAGAAAGGTGGCTATATTGGTCGCTGATTTGTTTTTGTATTTTTTTGAATGTCAGAAATGTATATTTGGGAATGTGGAGATGTTATATTGGTTTCACTGGTAAAAATAAATAATTGAAATGGGTATATATTTGTTTTTTGTTAAGTTGACTAATAATTATGCACAGTAATAGTCACCTGCACACACAGATATCCCCCTAAAATAGGGTCATCACAGTAAATATACAACTAATAGTTTGCTGGTTGAATGGGGGAGAATTCTATGCATTTACCATAACGTTGTTTGGTCTACGATGGGTTGAAATTATATGTGTTGGTGTGGCTGCTGGGTAATGAACCTAGCGCTACATATCTGACCAAGGACAGCGGAGGCTATCAGGCTTCGCTGATCCACCGTGGTCAAAGATCTGCGAGTCCGCTTTTGTCGACGGTCCCGACTCCAGGAGCTGCAGATATGTAGGCAGACCAAGGCACCCACCGGCACAAAAAGTGGCAGGGAGAGGATAGACGAAAATGTTGTAGCACCAGAAGATATCCCAGGAGAGGGGAGGAGTCCAAGGCTCCACCTGACAGATATATTCACACACAAACACAGTCTCACGCTCCCTCCTCACACATACACATACGACCTAAAGACTTACAGGAATACAGTATATGTCATACACCCACTCACGCTCCCCATACACACCCTACTTACTTTGGTGTTCTGCTGCACAGAGGGCACAACCATTCCCGGACACTAAAGCTAGCCCTACTCTGCTGGGATAATGATGAGCAGGTACCCTTTTTAAATCTTTTATTTTTTTTTGTGAAGCACCTCTGATTTTTATCTTGAGAGGTTCTAAATAGCCTTTTTATGCCTGACCACGGTGTTCATTATGGATAATCCATGACAAGCACAGAATTCCTTAACATACACCTATGGTCCAGCTCAGACATATCATCAGTGATGTATCCTGGGGTCATTGGATATTTTGGGTCTCTCAACACCATACATCCACGCCCAGGAAACCCCACCAGGGTCGATTAGGCCCTGGCTTGTGTCTGAGCAGTCTGCTTAGTCCACGGATAACTCTGCTTGATCCACAGCCAACTCAATGCTTTTTCAGCAGCATTTGAGATGTTCTTAACGGCTTTTCTCATGTGCTGTCCCTTCATTCCAAACATCTTGAGGACCCTAATTAGTGACTGCCCAGTAAATCCTCTACACCCAACCTCAACGGGGTTGCACTGGGTCCTCCAGCCCCTGCTTCGGCATTTGCCTGCAAGCTCTTCGTACTTGGCCCTCTTCCTCTCAAAGGCCTCCTCCATCTGATCTTCCCAGGGCACAGTCCATTCAGCCAATGAGCAGCCCCCTTGACTGATTCAGGCAATATTGTGGCTTCTTCCCTGCTTTCACAAAAGTGACATCTTGCCTTGTTGGTTGCTTGTGTCTACCACTTTATTTTTCTTGCGAAGCACCTCTGATTTTTATCTTGAGAGGCGCTATATGGCTTCTTTATGCCTATGGTGTTCATTATGGACAATCCATGACAAGCACAGAAGTCCAATAACAAAACACTGCTTAGCTTCAGGTCAGGGGGACATTTCTCCCAACCACAGCTCTCCAGATCTCATCGTCATTTCCCACATGAGAAATGGAGTCCCCCCAAGAGAACAGGGAGTCACTGGAAGGAGTGCTGTGCAACATCCTCTCCAAGGACTCCAAAAGTGTGGGTAGGGACCTGAAGGGAAGTTCAGTGCATGCGCGCAAACACCAGTTAGAACCCATCCCTCCACATGTAGGCTGAGGGAGGCTACCTCATTCATCTGTGTAAACCCCAAGCAACAGGCACCAAGATGGTCTGCGCCTCTAGGTGAGGGCAACTCTAGAGTGGTAGTGTCCAACCCCTTTCAAGAAAACTGGTTCCGGAGCCAGAGTCATGTATCGAAGTGAGTCCGAATATATCCAGCCAAAACCTTTCAACCTTACACACAACAGGCTCTTTCCCCACAGCGGTGACATTCCACGTGCCAAAAGCCAGCTTTTGTAGCCGAGGATCTGACCGCCTTCAGCTACCACCTCCACACTATACACAACCTCTTTGGCCGCTCCCACGAGTGGTGAGCCCATGGTAAGGGGGATCCACTTCTCTTTGGGATGTGCCCGGTAAGATTCCATGGGTGAATGCCCAACCACCAAGTGCTTGCCAACTTGCCCCAAGTCCAGATGGGGGCCCTGGTGACTCATGTCCAGGTGAAGGAATACTGTTCTCATTGATATTTGTCATCAAGGGGGCGTTGGCATTATTGAATAAACATCACCATGAAGAACAAGAAACTCACCAGAGACCAAAGTTGAATATTTGGGTCAAATGAAAAGCACTACAAGTAGTAGAAAAGTATTAACTTGCAACTTTTCTTTGGCAGGGGCATGAAACTAAGTAACAGGGAATCCTGGAAGAAAACATGTTGGAGGCTGCAAAGAACTTAAGATTCGGAAGGAGATTTCTTTTCCAGCAAGAAAATGATGCTACACCTAGCAAGAGCAAGGGCACTCAAATAGCCAAGTGGCCGAGGGCCACTCCTGGGGTGATGACGCTGACAGGTCGAATGACATAACAGTTATGTAGTGGTCCTCCTGTAGCATTCTACTCAGTGAACTCTAAGGTCTGGTCCAGGGAAGGGGCCAAGGGGGGGTTTCTGGGGGACCAGATTATAGAATATTTGTGCGTTAGAATGGCCCAGTCAAAGTTCAAATGTAAATTTCATTGAGCATCTCGTGAGACTTGTGGGGGGAAAAGATGGCAGTATAGTACACGCCCCATAATCATTGTAATGATTGTAGGTCTGAGACCTGCTCGGTTGGTCGTAGGGCTGGGCAATTATCGAAAATTTGCTGTTATCGAAATGTCTGACTCTTATCGAGATCATTTTTCCCATGTCAATAAATTTGATAATAAAAAAAATGAAAAGATGTGTGTGCCTTCATGTCCCTTTAAGAAGCTGTACCACCTTGAGTCACGTAAAAATGTGACTCAACATAAAACATGTGACAGCCCCATCTAGTGGACAACTGTTGTTTCTGCACATACCTGTAGTTATCGCCCATTTATCGTTATTGGGGTGAAATCCTCAATTTATCGTGATATTGATTTTAGGCCATATTCCTCAGCCCTTGTCTGTCGCAGTTGTTATAAGACACTTCACCCATTTTTCCTGCTGGTGGTGGCCGAGGACCAGTGGCTGCCAAACAAACATCAACCATCCAAAATTGAGGTTGGATTGTTTCCAGCATGTCAAGATGTCCTTAATCCCCTATGTAAACCCCCCAAACTGTGAATTGGGGGTATGAGTGTGTTAATGTGAGTTGTAGGGTAAAGCCTTTTTAGAGGACAGCAAGCTATAAAAGCAGTCTATTAACCAGATTAGTACAGGAAACAGGAAAAGCTGGATGTAAACCTTCCCTTCAGTGAAAAACATGTTATTTTTATGAAAAAGCTTCATTTTTTTTAAACCAGTTTGTTAAAAGACAAGGATTTTCTTCACAGGTCCCTGCTAAACCATAATTGTTGATCAGGACTGATGAGTCATCGTTCTAACACAACAAAGCAGCTTGTCAGTCGTGTGCTTTTGTGTTTTTGCTCCAGTTTGACACAAGTCATGGTTTCACCTTCGCCCAGTCCTGTCTGCAGATCCTACATGATCTGTGGAATGAGTTCAACACTGAGAAGACTTTTAGGTTTCTATGAATTAGATAACTCAGATAACTGGATGGGACCTTTGATTTAAAAAAAAAAGGTTGTTCTATACTCATTTAAGAATGTCATTGGCTCCATAAAAAGTCAGACAGAAGTCAAGGTTGAACTTAAATTGTTTTAAAAACATAGTTTTGTTTGTTTATAAAATAGAGTAGATTTATTAATCCAGCAGTGGAGAAATTAAACTGCATGCAAAGCAGGCGCTCTGACCAGTAACCTACCAAACTTTTATTTTTACTTCATTAGAAATAAAATGTTAGAGAAATAACAAGAAAGTTTTGAAAAGGAAACCCCATTTTTTATATCTCCACCACCCATATTGTGGTAATACTTCACAACTTTGAATGTTGAGTAAGTGAAGGCCAGTACAAACAGCGCCAAGCCTGTTCTAATGTTTACAGATATCAGAGGACACATTTATTGTTTATCATCTGAAACTTAAGAACCAGAATTGAAAGGTCTCCTGTTGTTTTGAGCTTCTGGGAACGACTGAGTGAGCTGAACTTATTCATGTCTGTTATTTAAAAAGTGAAAACTAAAAGCATTAAAAGATCTCCAGAAATGGGGTGTTTAGACATCTGTTTAAAAATAACCCAGTTTTATTCATGTGGAAGTTTTACACAAACAGGTTGTATCAATTATACACATTTACAATAAAAAACATTCCATCAGCAGCATCAACAGCAGATCTCTGTGGTACTTTGTGGGGGAGGAAACGGGCAGAAACCTGGACCTGGAACTTCAACACACCATAAAACCAGAATCCAGTTAGCTGTAATCTGAACATGTCATCAACATTCTGCTCTCAGGACAGTTGGGCAGCTGCTGGCCCAAAACACAAAGTATCATTTAGAAACAGGTTCTGGTAACATGCATGAACGAGACAGAAAACAAATACTAGATGTTCATGATTCCAGACACAGTGGTCCACGAGCCAGCTGGCTGCAGGACCCAGCATTTTCCAAGCGATTCCTTTTAAGAACCATCAGTAATCAGTCTGCTGGAGACATTAGGAGCGCTCGTTTCCACTTATGTTGTGAAGCAAGTCTTTGGTTCATGTAGACTTCTCTAAGGTCTCTGAGTGGTGTGAGCCGGTGATCGCATGTAAATGTTGAAAACCACACAGAGCCCCGCAGAAGTGTTAAACTGCCGTGTTTCTGGAGTTCATGCAGTCGAGTGAACTTGTTCATTCCCACCTGTAGAGTTTCAGCATCTTCTCTGTGAGACAAGCCAGGAAGTGTTCACTGTTCACTGAAAAAGGACTGACGTCTAACACAGGGAGGTCGGCTGGAAGCTTCTGGAGCAAGGAGCAGCTCGTAGCGTCCCACACCTGGGGGGGTTAAGGGGGTAAAAACAACAATGAGCTCACACTCTTTTCTTTTAGTAAACTAATATTTTTAACCAAGAATTCCCCTTTCTAAACAATCAGATCTTTCTTTCAGGTCCAGCCACTGGGTGCTGGAAAACCCAATAACAATAATAATGTCACCAATAATAACAAGATCCATCTATGGATCCAAATAGTTGTTTTTTTGTTTTAAAAAGTACACGTAGTTCATCAAAAATCAGTGGACAGAATATAAAAATGATTTTGTGCCAGCTTTTGGGCCGTAAATATATATAAATTAAGATTATTTACATTAAATTAAAAAAAAAAAAAATTCTGACTTTCTAATATCAAGAAATGTGCTGCTGCAGATGCTGACATGGTCTGCGGTGCTTCCACTCAGTTTCGTTCTGCTCAGTAGGAATCTGGTCTGAGGCGGTTTTGCTTGTATAGTAGCTAAAGCAGAGGGAGGAACACCAGATGAGGAGAAAACTTCATGATCACAGAGAACATCTGAGAGGGACCAGAATCATTTTTATTTTTGTTCTTAAAGCACCTCATGATTTTTATTTTATACAATATTGTTTCTTCTTCTTCTTTTAAAGGAGAAACTTCATAAATAAAGAAAGGAAACTAGAAGGAAACGCTTTTCTTTGTGTGCATTTTTGTGATGTAATTTGGTTTCTAGAGACCAAATCATCTACCAAGAAGCAATCTGGAGTTTTCTACTTTTCTGTAATTCGCATGATGTTTTTTTTTATCCTTAAAAGGCGAGGACTCCTTTGAAAATGAGGTTTTTAATCTCAATGGGACCTTCCTGGTTAAATAAAGAATAACGTTTCATGTAGGCAATACATCAAAATCAAAAATTCCTGTAGAACACCAAGCTACTGTTCTTTCTTATGGTGCACTTTGAGTTTTGTTGATTAATTGTGCCCTTAGACCGGTTGTTGTCACTAATGAGAATGCGTGGCATTTTTGATTGCTGCAGCCCATTGACTAAAGACGCGTTCTCTCGTATCTTATCTATTTCTCTATCACAAGTTGCCAGTTCACCACTAATCATTCTTTCCTTTAACAGAGGTTTCAACAGTCCAACACATTTTTTCCACCTTAAGTTGGTTCCATTTGAGAGAAAAAAAATGCATATTTTTGCTTTAAGATGATGTGTTTCAGGTGGAAGGCCAAAAACAGGAATAAATGTGTTGTCATTTAATCACCCTAAGAACAAGAACAGCATCTTTCCACCAGTGGTTGAGCTATCAACACTGGCTCAGGATGTAGGGGTTCGTCCTGTATTGAGAGGGTTGCTGGTTCAAAGTAGAGATGCACCGAAAATTCGTCCACCAAAAAAACAGCTCAGCTAAAATAGGCTGTCAGGTGAACCTCGTTTTCGGTGCCAACCTGCTCTAGGCTTCATAAAAACTGTACATTTATACCGATGAAGATCTCGTGAGCGTTTCAGACCAATGCGGTCAACACATTTAGTAAACAAATCCAACATGACAGTGTCCTCGGAGTTCGAAGAAGCAGCGATTATGATTTTAATACTTTAGCAACTTCTGAAAACGAATTCCTCCCTTTTGTAACCAGTTTCCTGCAACGACGTAGAACACATTGTAGCCATAAATGCTACGGTTCTAATTATTGAGGTAATTCCTTTCAGTGTTCTGATTTCGGCCAAGAATTTTCCTTTTGGTGCGTCCCTGGTTCAAAGTCTCACTTTGTCCGTCTGAGTTGCTGTGCCTTTGGGCAAAACACTTAACCCTCCTAGGCTGCTGGTGGTGGTCAGACGAACCAGTGGCACCAAATGAATGGCAGGTGTGTGTGTGTGTGTGTGTGTGTGAGAGAGAGAGAGTGAGAGAGACAGAGACAATGACAGACAGAGAGAGACAAAGATAGAGACATATATATATATATATATATATATATATATATATAGGGAGAGAGAGAGAGAGAGAGAGAGAGAGAGAGAGAGAGAATGACAGACAGAGAGAGACAAAGATAGAGACATATATATATATATATATATATAGAGAGAGAGAGAGAGAGAGAGAGAGAGAGAGAGAGAGAGAGAGGAGGGAGAGAGAGTGAGAGAGACAGAGACAATGACAGACAGAGAGAGACAAAGATAGAGACATATATATATAGAGAGAGAGAGAGAGAGAGAGAGAGAGAAAGAGAGAGAAGAGAGAGAGAGAGAGAGAGAGAGAGAGAGAGAGAGAGAGAATGACAGATGAATGCAGTTACTGGAGAGCATTTACAAAGACAGACCCTACACACACGGCCCTCTTCATTCAGACTAGTGCTAATTCTGACCCAGCCGTGTGAATCGTGATCAAGGTTTTCTTTCTTTTACGATGTGTTCACCTTTCTGCAACGATTCAAGACAAACTTCTTATTCATTTGAACGTCACAATGAAGCCGATTCTGATTCTAAAGCAAAGTAAATGTCATCCATGTTTGGTGGTGTGAAAAGCCCAGCCCCACGCTTCCACAAACAAACAAAATATAACCAAAAGAACCGTTGTGTCTTTCTGAAATGAAGGTGTAAAAAGCCCTTTCATTCATGAACCAAGGGTAGCATGTGTTTGCACTTCAAATACACAAAAACCAAATCCTAGAAGAGCTCATATGGGTCTGAACCATTGACCAAACAGCAACTTTACATTTATCGGACATTACCATGGTGGAGTTGGAGGCCTCATCACCGGCACACACCAGAGTCCCACTTCCATCTGGACTCCTGAAGACCGCGTTCTTGGTGAGCAGCTTGCAGGATGAGCCAGCTGTGAACGTCTGTACTGGCGACCACGAGCAGGTGGGCATCTGACTGGAGTCCTGCTGAGGAGATCGGGTCAGGGCCATCAGGACATGACGCAAAGACCGGTTGGCACGTCCTGCAGCAGAGACAGCACTTAATGAAATCCTTCTGGTACATGGAGCTCCAGCCTGTTACAGCCACAAGAATAAAACAATCCTTCAGGTGGAAACAATGTTGGCTGTAGGCCACGTTGGAAATGACCAGATATCCATGTTTTATTTACCATTTGTCTTCTTGCTTGTGTATTCAGGGAGCTGTGGCTTAATTTAGAAGGAGGAACTTCTAAACGGCTTTCAAACAGAAGTTATGGCCAGGCTGTTTCATAGGATTAATAAGGTAATTTACGTCCCAGAGGGCAAGCATAAATTTATCTACCTCTACCCAAACCCGAGCTAGCATGACCTTCACCACATGGTGCTCAGCAAGGGACTTGAGTGTTTCCACACCCACCCTTCCTGTTTCACCCTGGGCAACTCCAGAGAAGGATGATGTCCAGCCGCCATCTGGGAGTTGGGTTCCAGACCCTAAGCCCGCTACATCTCATTGGTAGGACTCAACCTCACACACAAGTTCTGGCTCCTTTCTCACCAGTGAGGTGACATTCCACCACCTAAAAGTCAGTGTATGAAGCCAGAGATTAGCATGCCCAGGCCACCACCCTCACCTAGCTCCCACTGCTCCCATCACAGATGTCTCACTGGGTGGTGGGCCCACATGGAGACCAACCAGATCTAGACACGTATACCAATTCCAGGAAAGGAGCAGATTCCTGATGTCGAGATTAGTTTCCATTAAGGCTGTACAGGATTTTCAAAGTAATACTCAAATTTAGTAGCTGAAAGAGGAAATGCATGAATGTTGCCAAAAATGGGTTTGTTTGTTTTTTAAATTAGGAAATAATATCACATGCATGGTGAAAGCAGATTTTCCATGATATGGCTCCTTTAAGTAAACTCTTTACTGGCAGCAGAAAATAATCAATATTTAACAAACCTAAAACTGTTCTGTATAAATTAACAAGGGTAAAAAGGAATTCAGGGTTTTATTATGTTTTAGTAAATCTCCCAGAATAGTGCTTTAACTCTAACAGTAGTCAATATGTCGGATTGTTGGAACAATCAGATGTGTTCTCCTGGGCGTGGACCTTACCGGGTCGATACGTGACCAGACAGTGTCTGCTCTCCGGCTCCACCTGGATGTCTGTGCAGCCAGTGCTCTCCAGTGGCAGCTCGTGAGCTCTGTAAGTGGTCTCGTTCACTTGTTCCCAGAAGCACCCCCCCTCTAGCGAGCCAGCAATCAGCCCACCGCAGGGGAATGAACTGGACGCCGCCCGCGACACGTAGCACAGAGACGCCACTGGACACCTATCAACAACATTTCAACTGTGACTGCAGCTGAGGAAACAGAGACCTCCTCTGAAGGAGGTGCAGTGCGTTTTTGGGTTGATTTGCGGCGTATACCTGTAGCGTAGAGGCTCCAGCTCCTGAATGTGTGTGCTGGTGTCTCTGGTGTCGTAGATCAGCACTGAGCCGTTGCTCAGACCAGCGTAGATGTAATTACTGTTGTCAGAACACCAGCAGCAGCTCCACACTGGTTTACCAGTGTTGTACGTCTGAACCACCGTGTTGGTCAGCAGACTGCAAACACATAAAGACATCGAATAACCTGTTGAAGTGGCTTCAGGTAAGAAGATGGATTTAACTCGTTTCTGCCCAGGTTTAGTCCTAAAAAGTACTTTTGCCAAGAATCCTGGTTCCTCTATATAGGGCAAAATTGACTAATTATCATTAAATTAATCCAATTTCAATCAAATTTAACTGCAATAATTTAACCAGAATCTGGACCTGGTATCCTTCAGAGTTTGTTGCTTTGTGTAGCATTGTCAGATGACGAGATCTATGACCTATTTGAAGTGTTTAAAAACAATCTGGTGCAATTTTGAAGGCAGAAAGCTCCACCCTGTTCTGGTCTGAGGCTACTGTGACAGTACCTGGTCAGTTTGATGGTGTTGTCCAGTGCTGCAGACAGCAGCAGGCTGTCATTCTGCCTGTTGAAGGACAGACCTCGGATCTGTTTACTGTGGATAGGAACATATTGGCTTGCCTTCATGTTCATCACGCTCACTTTCTTTATTCCACAACCTGAATGGAGGAAAGGAAAATGCAAAGAAAATCTGTCATGAAAAATGTTAAAGTTGGTGTGTGTGGTTTAAACTTATAAAACGCGTCTATCTGACCCTGTTTTACGATAAAAATTAATCTTTCCCCTCCCGTGGCCTCGGCAGTAGAGCTGTGTATTCACAAGAGGGAGCTAACGTCAACGAGAATGCCCCACGGTCCCCAGCGAGCACCGAGGGGCGATGTCGGAAGAAGCCTAAAGTTTAATGTGAAGTTACTAAAACAAGTACAGAAGTTATTGATTTCTCCACAAACTTCCACTTCTCAAAGAAAATTTTAACACTTTAAAAATCATTCTGCAAAACTCTCTGAGACATTAACGACTGCTGCTTTTAAAAAGACAGACTTTGGGATCCCAATACTGATGATTCAGTTAGTGTCTGAGTCAGGGAGCGGTTGCACGACTGCAGTTGGTACAGAATTCGGCAGCTAGGCAGGCACTAGACGCAGGGGGCACATCACCCCCATTCTGGCAGCTTTTCATTGGCTCCGGGTACATTTCAGGGCAAAATTCAAGTTGCTGACATTGGTGTACAAAGCTCTTCAGGGAGCGGCACCACCATACCTTACTGGCCTCCTGCAGAGGCATGCTCCACCCCGGGTTCTCACGCTCAGCTGTTGGTGGTTCCCCATTCAAAATGTAAGTCGTGGGGGGATTGTGCGTTCTGTGATGGGTCCAAGACTTTGGAATGACCTGCACCAAGTCCCATCTGAAGACCCATTTTCATGTCTCAGCTAGGGTTGGGCGATTTGTATAATTTTTCCCACCGTCAATCGTTACTCCAAAAAAAAGCTGATGGACGATTTTTTCGTGCATGTGACGTCATGACGCACGGACTGATTTGTGAACACAGAAGAAGCCCAAACCATAGAATTTATTTTAAATACAAGTGCAGCACATATGTATGCTGGATGAGAAATGTATATTTTCATTTTGTTTAATTTTGTATTTGTGGTTTGGTAGAGTGACGTATAAACGGCTCGTATTAAACACGGTTAAAATGTTAAAAAGAAGCCTTGCCTTTGGTTCCCTGTGGTGCCCACTGTTGTGGTTTTTATTTAAGCTAAATGTTTGAACAAAAACTTCTGGGGTTCATTCTTTTATAAGTGAGGGACGGAATGAATTGCTGCCGCGTTTGGACGCACTCTGAGGAGGCAGCTCCTGCCAGAGGTCACATGATCCATTTATCCCCGTCACTTTTAGTTCTAAAATTATGAATAATCATTTGTTAAATTTCCATTCAATTTAAAAGCTTCCTTCCAGAGTATTTCTCTTATCAAATGGCACCATCTAGTGGCTGAGAAGCGTATCACACAAAAACGCTGTTCCTCTGTTTTTTTAAGATGGCGACTTCACGTTTCTGTTTATAAATGTGCTTCTGTAGCCGACAAACAGCTAAAACACGTTGTTTTACGAGTATTATTCTCATGTCATGTTGTGTTCTCATATATTTATATTTTAGAGACTTACTTGTCCATGAAAAGTTCATCAACTTAGCATCAGCCAAGGTATTCCTTAAATTTGAAGCGTCCAAGCGGTAGTCTAACGCTATTGGTTAGTTCTTGTCGGCGCGGTTTCCTATTGCACAGAGCTCTGCCGGGCAGGGGGCGTGCTTAGTTAAAAAAAAAAAAGACGTATTGCTTATATTATATCACAGTACACGATAAGATAATCACTTTTACGGATTTCTGAAAAATCATACATAATTTCTGAAAAAGGAAAACCCCGGAAAGCAGCTTTAATTAATATTTAGTCCAACCAAGCTGATCAGAATGACCCAATAACATGAACAATGCAATTAATCCATTTCACTTAGATTAGGAACATTTCGCCTGCAGTGGCTCAAAAGCACGTTCCTCCTGCGCCGCGTAAACCTGAACTGGTCACCTGCAGCTTGTGTGTAATCAAATGTCTCCGGGGAGCTTGCTAAAGAGGTTATGAGCTTCTAGACGTTTGCCTCAGACAGACTCGTGGCTGTTTAAATAATGTTCTGGATGGATCCGTGCTCTGCTGACACACTCGAAGCAGGTCCAAAGCAAAGTTTTAAATCGGGAAACATTTCTCCAAATGAAATAACCAGAAGTCTTCCAGACTGAAAGATAGAAGGGTTTCCACTTTCCACTCAACGCCGCGCTGTAGTGCACAATGTCGAGTGTGTCGCAGACGCTCTCTGAGCCTCTCCGCGCGTTCTTGGTGAGACAGTGCGCCACTTGCGCGTGCACTGTCAGTAGCCAGAGGAGGTGGGAAAAGGCTCAGATGCGCGGATGGGGATTATTTCTTGATTGTTACCTCCGCAATGTTCTCTGTGCGTAACGTGTAAAATATTCGTCAATGTTGAGAAGCAACATGTTTTCTTTAACTAAAGAGTGTTCATGCAGGACTAATGTAATCTGTGTTAAACATGAATTTGTTTGTTACCCTCAGGAGGTGTCCTGTGTGGCAGCCATTTTGAAGCAGCTAAAGAGGAAGCCCGCCTCTAATGCTGCCTTTATATAGGAAATGCCTGAGTGGACTGATGTGATTGGCCGACCTGAATTGGAGAGGGGGTCAGAGAGTATATAGGTGGACTGTTGGGTGTGGCAAGAGATCTTTTCTCTCTGAAAGTGACACTGGAGGAGAGTTGGATGGGTGGCCATTTTGAATAGTGCTGGGATTTTCAGATTTTTGTTTGGACCAGAGGAAATTAAATTGGTTTTCCTTGTTTATCAACCAAGTCATCATGCTTCTTTTGTCCTCACTACACTTCACTGTGTAACAGTCAATAACAAACAAATTAATAAATAAACAAATCGCCTCCTGTAAAAAAAAAAAAAAAAAAAAAAACAATCACAACGGCACAGCCCATCGCCGATGGTCGATTCATTCGTCCCATCGCCCAACCTTAGTCTCAGCTTTCCGCCACTAAATGAGGCATATTGGCATCTTTGTCCTACTTTTTAAAATGTTTTTTTAAATGTTAGCATTTTCTTCCTTTTTAGATTAATGTTGAAATGTTTTAGAATAAATTGATGTTGATAAATGCTAAATTGTGTTTCTGACTTTGTGTTCAGCACCTTGGCCGTCTGATGAGGGCGTGAAAGGGCTTTATAAATTAAGTAGAGTATGATGCTGAAGGCTCAGAGAAAGCTGAACCATCATTACCGGGCACCAGAGCAGAGTGAGGAGACGGCTGTGAGACCAGCAGGCAACTCAGAGGTTGACAGAAGGACAAAACCCTGCATCCTCCACTCTGAGACACCATCACCGCCTTGGAGAAGCTGTACTGGGCTGTCCTGGAGGCCTCTGCCCTCTGAGATGCACTGAAGAGACATGAGCTTAGCGAGGAAGAGGAGCACGTAGTGGAGGAAGGAACAGCGCTCCTTTTGGTCTGGGCAATCAAGGTCCTCAGCTCCTAGAGAGAGAGAGAGAGAGAGAGAGAGAGAGAGAGAGAGAGAGAGAGAGAGAGAGAGAGAGAGAGAGAGAGAGAGAGAGAGAGAGAGAGCGAGAGCGAGAGAGAGAGAGAGAGAGAGAGAGAGAGAGAGAACAGAGCTAAGTGAACAACTAGATATTAACTAAAAAAACCCATAAGAGATTTCCAACATGGAAAACAAACTGATCTAGTATTTGGTTCATCTGTTCTCCTCCCTCTTCCTCTTCCCTGCACTTTAGCAGACACATAAACCTCAAAGCCAAAAGGTGAATAAGGAAAAAGTCAAAGTCAGATTTGAAGCCAAAATTCTAAAACAAAGCTAATTTACAGTGGTGTGAAAAACTATTTGCCCCCTTCCTGGAGAGAACAAAACCCAAACCTACATTGCCCTGTGTGAAAAAGTTATTGCCCCCTTTGTTAAAACATTACCCAACTGTGGTGTTTCATACCTGAGTTCAGTTTCTGTAGCCACCCCCAAGCCTGATTACTGCCACACCTGTTTCAATCAGGAAATCACTTAAATATGAGCTGCCTGACACAGAGAAGTAGACCAAAAGCACCTCAAAAGCTAGACATCATGCCAAGATCCAAAGAAATTCAAGAACAAATGAGAACAAAAGTAACTGAGATCTATCAGTCTGGTAAAGGTTATAAAGCCATTTCTAAAGCTTTGGGACTCCAGCGAACCACAGTGAGAGCCATGATCCACAAATGGCAACAACATGGAACAGTGGTGAACCTTCCCAGGAGTGGGCGGCCGACCAAAATTACCCCAAGAGCACAGAGACAACTCATCCGAGAGGTCACAAAAGACCCCAGGACAACTTCTAAAGAACTGCAGGCCTCACTTGCCTCCATTAAGGTCAAAGTTCACGACTCCACCATAAGAAAGAGACTGGGCAAAAATGGCCTGCATGGCAGATTTCCAAGACGCAAACCACTGTTAAGCAAAAAGAACATTAGGGCTCGTCTCAATTGTGCTAAGAGACATCTCAATGATTGCCAAGACTTTTGGGAAAACACCTTGTGGACTGATGAGACAAAAGTTGAACTTTTTGGAAGGCAAATGTCTCGTTACATCTGGCGTAGAAGTAACACAGCATTTCATACAAAGATCATACCAACAGTAAAATATGGTGGTGGTAGTGTGATGGTCTGGGGTTGTTTTGCTGCTTCAGGAACTGGAAGGCTTGCTGTGATAAATGGAACCATGAATTCTACCGTCTACCAAAACATCCTGAAGGAGAATGTCCGGCCATCTGTTCGTCAACTAAAGCTGAAGCCATCTTGGGTGCTGCAGCAGGACAATGACCCAAAACACGCCAGCAAATCCACCTCTGAATGGCTGAAGAACAACAAAATGAAGACTTTGGAGTGGCCTAGTCAAAGTCCTGACCTGAACCCTGTTGAGATGCTGTGGCATGACCTTAAAAGGTGGTTCATGCTGGAAAACCCTCAAATAAAGCTGAATTACAACAATTCTGCAAAGATGAGAGGGCCAAAATTCCTCCAGAGCGCTGTAAAAGACTCGTAGCAAGTTATCGCAAACGCTTGATTGCAGTTATTGCTGCTAAGGGAGGCCCAACCAGTTATTAGGTTCAGGGGGCAATTACTTTTTCACACAGGGCAATGTAGGTTTGGGTTTTGTTCTCTCCCTAAATAATAAAAACCATTATTTCAAAACTGCGTGTTGTGTTTACTTGTGTTATCTTTGACTAATGGTTAAATGTGTTTGATCAGAAACATTTTGTGTGACAAACATGCAAAAGAATAAGAAATCAGGAAGAGGGCAAATAATTGTTCACACCACTGTAGTGCTGCACCAGTGACTCCAGCCATTAATGACTAGACCATTTCCAACAACCTTGTTCCAAGAACTTCAACTGTCCAGGACATTAATATTGAATATTTAAAGTATTGAATGTGGTACTTGTTTTCATGTCCAGTTCTGCCTTTGTACCTATAAAGGCTTCTGCCATGCACCACGCTAAACGATTTTAACACTTAACAGTGATTTTTCTAGGAGAAACTTGGATTTCTGTTTGATTCGTGATTTTCTTCAAAGTTTCAACATAGGCTTAAATCAATTTAATGAACTAATTAGAATTTTTTTTTTGTTGCGGGCGATTTAAAAAAGTAAATCAAATTTTTATGTAATAGCGCTTTTTTCAAGTCTGTTTATTAAAATAAAATGCATGCAGATTTTCTTGTTATTTTACCAAGCTGGGCTGCCTGGGCGTTTTTCTGGCTGTCTGGTTGGTTTTCTCACTAAAACTTTGCTCTGAACTCTGACACACTTTTCATGCTTGGTTGAACTACAAAAGAATGCAGATTTGACAATCATGTGATCGGGTTGTTTGAAATCGCAACATAAGTCCAAAAGCAATAGATCGTTCAGCCCTCCATGCACCCATAAACCACCTCTGGCTCTTCTAAACACAGTCCTACCTGCAGCTCGCGCTGGGCTTCTCCATATTTGTTGGTGACCACCTGTAGTTTGAGTTTGTACTCAGCTGACTCCAGTTCTGCCTTCCTCCTCAGAGACTGCTCTTGCTCCAGAGACCTGGTGAAAACATGAAAGTTCTGTTGTTACAGACAGGTGAGGGGAGGAAGTAGGGCTGGGCGATATGGCCTCAAATGTATATTGCGGTAACGATATATATTGTGATATATTTTTTCCTATGTTTATATATGTCAAAATGACATGCTTTTAAATATCCTCATGTGGCAAATATATGCCACTTGAGGCATATAGGCCTCCTCCTCCGCCCACTCCATGCTTGCAGTCACTGACTCTGATTCTGTTGTCCCAATGTCAGCAGGGTGCACGTCTTAAGCTGTTTTTACAGGACCATAGCGTTTTTAAAACGGGATTTGCCGCAGCACCCTGGGGAGGATTTTGGCATTTATAGTAGCAAAGCTGAAGCTAGAATAAACCGCCATCAGACACCTCTCCAACCAAGGCGGGATAAAGGGAGGTCACCTTTAGTGACGTCATGTGTTATTGTGATATCGTGGTATTGTGATATAGCCAAAAACTCTCATTACCCAATTTTATATCGGTTCTACCTTATATCGTTTATATCGCCCACCCCTAGGAGGAAGTCCTCTGAAACACCAACAGCCTCTACAACATGTAGACCAACAAGGTACACACTCTTAGTTCTTCTTCAACCAGCCAAAAAGAGCACACGTCACCCCTCTGTTCATTGAGCTCCACTGGCTACCGCTAGCAGCACGCAACAAATTCAAATTGCTAACACTAGCATACAAACTCCGAGATGGTACGGCTCCCATCTACCTGAATCCTCTTGCAAAGGCTTACGTCTCGGCCCGGCCGCTCCGGTCATCACAGGATCGTCGGCTAGCAGTGCCTACACCACGTTCAGGACAATCCAGACTCTTCTCATGCATCGTTCCACAAATGTGGAATGACCTTCCAAGCACTACCAGAACAGGAGCTTCCTTTTCAATTTTCAAGAAACTCCTGAAGACCCTGCTCTTCAGAGAGCATCTTCTAAACTAGCACCCTCCCTGCACCCGTCCCCCCTCTCTACCGTCCACTCCTTGTTCCCTCCTCTCCATGATTGATGTCAATGTTGTTGTTATTGTTGTTGTTAGCCTCAAGGGCAACATGCCGATTATCACTTGTAAGTGGCTTTGGACAAAAGCGTCTGCTAAATACATAAACATAGTTCAAACCATAACTCTCACAGAAGTGACACGCTTCACCTTTGATCCCCTAACAACCTAACCTCCAACCAGAACACGTTTAAAACACTGTCTATCTGAACAGAACTGCTGTCTCATGTAGTGAAGCTGAATCATCAACTTTCACTCGCTCTCTCATCTGGGATACAACGTTCTCCATCCTGCTGCTCCGGCAGGTGGAACTGGCTCGTAACCTGAGCTCAACATAATTTGCGGCGCAGCTACTTTGTTTGTTGTCCAACTTCAAACAGCTAAACTACATCTGAACCTGGTCTATTGTACCGATGCCATTCGCTGTGTCCTCCGTCTTTCTCTCCCTTCAGGGCGCTCATTTTTTTATTGTTTCTATCCTACCAGCCATCTGCAGTTAGAGGCTGCAGCCACACAAACATTAACCGTTAGCGTATCCAGCTGCTACTGTCTGGCTCTAGTCCAACCACTATCGGGCCACTTAATATGACTGGGTGTTTATCTGTTCTTTAGAGCAAAGTTTCTATCAACTGGTTTCCATTTTTCTATTGAAGAAGTTATTTTGAAATGCTAAATGACGTGCATCAGATATGGCGCCCTCTAGGGTTCTACAAGCTGGTCTCATAAAGACGCTGGTGGACATCATCACTCACCTCTTTAGGGTCTCTTGCTCAAAGTTGTCGACAGCTCTCAGTTTGGGAGCGTACAGCAGCACGATGTCGGAGCGCTTGGCTTTCTTGTTGCACTGAGAACAGAAGATGCCAACACTCAGTCTACTCACACACTTGTGCACACACTAAGAAAAGTCAAACTGACCTGAGGACACTTGGCAGCAGAGCCCTGAGCTTTGAGCCAACGCTGGATGCAGGTGTAGCCAAACAGGTGTCCACAGCGCAGAGTGGACAATCTGTGGTCTCCTGCTGTTGTCCAGGTCTCATAGCAGATGGAGCAACTGTTGTCTTCATTGTCCTCGATGTGGGCCGATGATCCTGAAGCCTGGGCTGGCTGTAAGAGAACACAGGAAAATCCTCAAACACATGACAGCTCTGAAGACACGGGGTCAGCCTTCAGCTAGACTCACTTAGATAAAACGACCAGTATGAAGATCCTCCTGTTAGCGGTTTCCTGACGAGTCACGAGATTAAACCAACTTCTAGAAGTCTCCAGACAGTAAAACTGAAGTGTGGTACCAGAAGTAGCTCAAACTCACTGGAACTAAATGATAAATGACCCGCACTTGTGTAGCACCTTTCAGAGTCGGAGGACTCCAAAGGGGTTCACACTACAGTGCAACACACACACACACACACACACACACACACACACACACACACACACACACACACACACACACACACACACACACACACACACACACACACACACACACACACACACACACACACACACACACACACACACACACACACACACACACACACACACACACACACACACACACACCTTTTAGAAAACATTGCAGCCAATTTTGCCGCAATGCCATGGCGACATCAGGGAGCCTTAGGTCATTTCTAAGGCCCTGTCCACACGTAGTCGGGGATCTGCTAAAACGTAGATATTTTTCGACGTTTTGGCCTGTCATCCACACGAAAAGTTTTTTCACACGAAAACGGATCTTTTTAAAAACTCCGGCCAAAGTGAAGATCTGCGTTTTCTCCGTTTTGGGTGTCTGCGTGTGGACAGACAAAACCGGAGATTTAAGGTCCGCAACGTCACTTTCCGCAACAAAAAATGCTGACATCACGTGTGCGACCTGTGTTTACACTAGCCGACAGCATGGATGCCCTCAGAGCTGCGCTCGCTTTATCAATTGTCCAAGCGCTTTTTGCTTGTTTGTTTTTGCAAGCGGAATTACTGCTCCTTGCGGAAGACCACAGACGAAGGACGAGGTTAAGAACGGGGGAAGTACTGCCGCCTACAGGTCTGGCATGTCCTTAACAACGTATTTATCCGGGTACGTGTGGACAGTTTCTTTGTAAAACGAGGTGGTGTGGATGCAAGTTTTTGGAGGGGCGGATATTCGTTTTTTAAAAAACCCGGCTACGTGTGGACTAGGCCTAAGTGGTCAGACCGTGGCGGTAATGTGGCTCCATTGAGTCAATTTTATAAAAGATTAAGTGATGGCAGCATAAAGGAGGCATGGGGGTGGACTCTGTGCTGCTGCAGACATCCGTTTATCTTGGACATAACTTGCTTTTTATTGCGGTCGAAGCTGTGATCATTACATTTTTTAACAAGCCGCTCCTAAAGATGTCTGTACTCATCGGTCCCTGTGCAGTCTCTGGCGATCTGACCTCCAGCTCTAACAAAGAAAAACTCCTGGAGCGACCCGGAGCTGCACATTATCATCTCAGTCGGTTCTGTTAACAAAAGCAAAATGTACTTTCAGTTTCAATATTGTAGCCAGCCGGAGCTCGGCATTAACTCCCCATGATCATGACTCCTCCCTCTTTTGCATCAGGTGTAATATGCATTCACAAGTCCAGCGTTGCGGTAATAGTACTACCAAGAGTGGCGGCATGGATGCCGCAAAATTCCTGCAGTACCCTGCAGCCGTGGTAGAGAGAGCTGCTTCAGACTTCTGTTTCATTGACAAACAGGAAAAATGGAAGCGACTTGCCGGTTGAGTGAAAGTCTCTACCGGTGACTAGCGGTTCTACGAGGCGTTAGCGTGCCATCAGTTCCACTTCTCCAGTTCCACTTGTCATAATATCATTTAGATGGAGGCAGCAGAAAGAAAAGGTCTGAAGTCTTACTTGGACCTAGAAACAAGCCGTTTGTAGATGGGTCAAGGAACTCAAGGGGTCAAGGTCTCCAACAAGCACATCAGCTCAGTGGATCAGAACTTCAAGTTCACCAAGGAGGAAGTGGAAGAAAAAAACGGACCTTCTTGAATCGCGTTTTGCAAACTCAAATATTAGATTTTTTATTGTGGAGGTCTACAGGAACCTGCAGCAGCACCCAAACAACAGCTTCAACTACAGCATGCACGTTAAATGATGATGTGCATGACTCTAGAGACACAGCCCGTTAAACGACAGGAGAACCAAGGAATCAGGAAAATTACCTGACAGTCGAGACTCTGAGCTTCTGGTTTGTGATGGTCTGCAGCTGGACCAGCCAGCCTAGAATCTGAGCAAAGACAAACCAGCATCAAATCCACCTTCTGAATGGTTATTTCAGCTACAGCTAAACAGAAACTGGTTTGCGTTATAACGGGTAGATAAATGCCTTTCTCCCTCACCGTCGGTTCTGGCTTCCTGCTGCTCTGCCTGTTGGATGGAGGCACCTGGGAGGGCCGGGCCAGGGGCCTCTGCAGCAGCGGCCAGATTCTGGTCTTCTCCTCCCGGCTCATCCTCAGACTCACTGGCCTCCGAGGTGCTACTAGACTCTGGCTGAGCTACACCTGCAGCTGGCGCCCGGAGCAGGAAATCTAGGAAGGTTCTGGAAGGTGCTGTAGTCTGGCTGGGGTAGTGGACCCGGAGACCCTGTCTGGAGCACAAACACAGGATCAGCGGGGAAGTCAAATGTTACCAGCTAAGATGAGCAGGGCCTTATTTAGAAAGCTTGCTTATGCACCAAACAGGGTTTGGAAGTTGCGTACGTATTTCAATCCCAACTTTATCATTTACAGAAAAAATTTAAAACCTGACGGAAAAATGTGTACAACTTTACACAAATCCTGACCCTCGCACAGTTTGGAAACAGAGTAGCTGGCAAAATGTTGAATTTAATCCACATTTAAATCACACACACACACACACACACACACACACACACACACACACACACACACACACACACACACACACACACACACACACACACACACACACACACACACACACACACACACACACACACACACACACACACACCTCTGAACTGGGAATAAAAAGGAGAATCTGAATGAAAACACATTGCATTGAAGAGTTAAGACACAGTAAGTTCATACATATGTCCTTAAATGATTTAGTATTGCACTTACTGGTGCATCAATAGTGATAATGTGTGTACTAATGAGATTACTGAGCAGATATTTAAATACTGCAGACACACTCATGCACTATAATAAGTACATTTTATTCATATAGCACTTATCAAAGACAGAATCACAAAGTGCTTCACAGAAATCAAAACAAAATAAAGCAAAGTCACGACATCATAATGTTCTCAAAACAGAAATAGATCAAATAAAGTCGTAAAATTATAAAATTTCATAAACAGATGAAAGATGATAACAAATTTGAGTTAAAAATATGAAAACAAATAAAAGATTTAGGTAAAAACAGCTTTAAATAAAAAGGGTTTTCAGCTGTTTGAAAGGTGTTCGGAGCGTCAATACTTCATAAGGATAAAGGAAGATCATTCCTGAGTCGGGGTGCAACAGTCTGGAAGGAGCGATCACCTCGACTTTTATATCTGGTCTTTAGAACTTCTAGAAGGTTCTGGTGTGTGGACCTGAGGGCTCGGGTTGGAGCATAATGCTTTAACAGTTCAGTAAAATAGGGAGGAGCTTGACCATGTAGAGCCCTGAAAGTTATAGTCAGGATTCTAAAGGGTAACGGGTAACCAGTGCAGAGACAGTAGAACAGGAGTGATGTGTGCTCTTCTGTTTTCTCCAGTTAGGAGCCTTGCTGCAGAGTTCTGGACCAAATAAAGGCGGTCAAGTGCGTTTTTGTTAAAACATGTGAAGAGTGTGTTACAGTAATCTAGACAGGAGGAGATAAATGCATGGATAACCATTTCAAGTTCATGTTTTGACACCAACCTTCGCAGTTTAGAGATATTTCTTAAGTGATTAAAACAGTTTCGGACCAATGTTTTTGAGTGGCCTTCGAGAGATATTGATTGGTCAAAAATAACACCCAAATTCCTTAAGTTTGTCTTGACAGCAGAGGATAAATGACCAAGTTTTAGACTAATCAGGGGAACCATGCTCTCAGGAGCAATGATCAGACATTCAGTCTTTTCAGAGTTTAATGAGAGGAAGTTATCTTCTAGTCAGCTGGTGATAGCTGAAAGACACTAGTAATTCAGATTGTTTATAGAACTCAGAATCCTTAAAGGAGCAGTACAGCTGAATATCATCTGCATATAGGTGATAAGAGACATTATGAAAAGAATCAATTATCTGTCCAAGAGGGTGTATGTACAGCAGAAACAACAGCCGACCCAAAACAGAGCCTTGGGGTACCCCACAGAACAGATTGGAAGAATGTGACATGATTTGGTTTATACAGACACTATAACTTCTGTGAGAAAGGTACGATCTAAACCAGTCTAGAACAGCTCCAGAGATCCCCACCGAGTCACCAAGTTGATCAACAGTGTCAAAAGCTGCAGAAAGATCTAACAATACTAACACTGTGAATTCCCCGTTGTCTGCAGCCATCATGATGTCACTGGAAACTTTAAGCAAAGCTGTTTCCGTTTTACGAAAACCAGACTGGAATTTGTCAAAACTGTTCTGTAGTTCCAGAAAAGTAATCAGTTGATCTGCCACAACCTTTTCCAGTATTTTAGAGATAAAGGTTAATTTAGAAATGGGTCTGTAATTTTTAGGCTGAGATGAGTCCAAACTTGTTTTTTAAGGATAGGTTCAAAAACTGCATGTTTGAAAGGAGATGGTACAGAGCCAGATTGTAGGGAAAAATTAATCAAATCTACAATGCATGGGCATGTTTGGTCAAACATCCTGATTAACAAGATGGAATGAAATCAGCAGGGCATGAGGTTGGTTTCATGTGTTTCTGAATGAGGAAAATGTCCTGGAAATCTACAGGAGTAAAAGGCAGACCATAGAAATAAAGCAGAAATTGTGGCAGCTGAGCATATGCAGCATTTTATAAGTTTGAAAATTGCTTTGCTTTAGCTGAGCATAAGAATTTTAGGGATTCTTCACAAAGTTGAATAAATTAGGCCTAAAGTCCACTTAGCTCAGTTGGAGATCAAAGCTACTTTGTGTAATTTTCATTACCTGAGCCTCCTTCTCATCGGTGTACCCTGAGCTGCTGAGGCCATGGCTGCAGATCCAGCTACAGACCCCTGACTAAATGCCCAGGTGGCAGGAAGCCTGATGGGAGCTCGAGCGGTCGCCTGCCCCCCGTCGTCATCTCCATCTTCATCCTCATCCACTTCAGTGCTGCTGCCGGAGTCTGAGATGGCGACCAGAACTCCAGCATTTTCAGCTGGAGCAGCAGCCTCTAGCTCAACCAGGGAGTCTACCTCCATGGCCTCCATCTGCAGAGTCAGAAAAACTAACATCAGCCTAGTCTGAACAACCAGAACTTCTGTGATAAGGAAAACAGGGCGAATGCTCGATTTAAGCTGATAGAGTCACAGGTCATAACACCAACAAAGAAAATAATCTGGTCCAAGTCTAGGACAATTTGGTTCAAATGTTAACAAGATTGTTTTGAGGAAGCAAATAGAGAAACAAGAAATTTTAGCTATTTTATAAGCCTAGCCTAGAATACTTTGATCCAGGTTTGAACAGTCTAGGTGACGGCTGTTGTTTATTGGATCAAAGATGGGTAATATGATGAAAGCTCTGTGGAATGGCCCTTTAAACAAATGGCTAATCGAAAGCTAACTTTAGCCTCTGCCGGTTGGTGGCGTCTCTGACTTCGCCGGTGTAACGCTGCCTTATCCGGGAAAACACTAAACTACAGACCGAGGTTCCCGAGGCCTTTCCATTGAAGAAGGTAGTGGCGACGATTTGTTTTAACCTCATGTCGCCGGAGAGGTGATGTGGTGTATTAGCAACAAAGCTGCCTCTGATATTAAACATATATGATGTTGTTTAACATTTTCTAACCTGAAATTAACGGACGCTAACACCATCTCAGGTTTGTGAAGATGGGAGACTAATACTGCTCGTTAGTGACACTCTAGTTTCATGTTTCTGCTTGGGTCACACGTTTTAATGCTTTAAAGGTTTAAAATAAGAAATAAACAAAGACCGTTGTTGCTATAGCTCACACTGCACCATGCTAGCGCGGCTGCGAATAGACACACTCACCTGTAAAGTTTTAACAGCTGCAGCAGGTTCCGCTCTGGACACCCGCAGACTGTGGTAACATCACACCGTTGAAAAGACAAAAGCCTGAAGATGAAGCAACGGTGGGTGTACCGATTCTTTCTGTTCCGACATGTAGCTTAAACACACCGTCAGGAGTCGAATCTCCCGGCTTCGCTTTCCTCCGCTCTTCCCGCTCTGACCTGCTGCTACGTCACTGCCAAAGATTGTTTGTTGTTGAGATGATTCCTGTTTTGTGAATTGAATTCACAACCTGTTGTGCCATAAATCGACTCGCTGCCAAAAAAATGATCAGCCACCGCGGGATCGCGCACGGTTAGGTAATTGCATTTCTAGACGAAATTCCCCAAGATTTCGCCCTAAAACTCAGCATATCTAGCAATATGGACAATCAGGAAGCAGAGATGACCTCTTCCGGTACTTAAACAGATGTTTTTTTAAATAACTTTTATTGAACCTTTGCAAAACGAACAAAAGCGACTACATTTCAAAATTTGTTAGCAGAATGACATTACAGAGTAGCTCCGAAGTTCGTGTTCATCTCAACTTGCATTTTGTAGATACAATTCAACTTGGTATAGTAAGAAGACAATAAACAAAAACAACAACAACAACAAAAATAGAACATTAAAGGATACAAGTAAGACAGCATGAAAAAACAAATTATGTGTATATAAATAAAGTTTTACAAGGGGGAAGTTAAAGAGCAAACAAGGTCTATTGTGTATACCATCCAAAAAGCAGTTAGAGATTAGTGTTCATAATGAAATCATAAAGCTTTATAGCATTGGGGGTGGACATTTTACCTAAGGATCTCAACAGCAGTTTAATTTCATTTTTGAGATTATTCCACATAGGTGGATTTTTGAGATATCGGCATTTGTGTATGAAAATTTTTGTTAAGATTATGATATTATTACCTATAAGAAACGTCTCAAAATATCTTTAAATTCTTTACTGATTATTTAATTGTAGACAACTAAAATGGCATTTTACTTGCCAAAAAGTGACTTGAATCGCTCAGATTTTCATGGAGGCTAAAATTGACCAAATAAGGGTTTTATGTATTATCTGTTGATGTTACTGTACTCATACTGCCTACTGTATCATCAAAAACACCCCAAAAATGGCAACAACAAAAAAAGATAATTTCCCTTGCCAAAAATTGATTACAGTGTCCTGTCACCTGTAAAGGGTTAAATTTACCTTAATATTACTTTATTTATTATCTCTTGATGTTATTAATCCCATCACAGGATGCTGGGTCTCTTCCACATTCATAAACACCTCAAAATGGCAACAAATGATCATTTCCCTTGCCAAAAATTGATCACAGTGTCCTGGTCACCTGTAAAGGGTTAAATTTACCTAAATATTACCTTATTTATTATCTCTTGATGTTTTCAGTGCCATCACAGGATGCTGGGTCTCTTCCACATTCATAAACACCCCAAAAATGTCAAAAAAAAAAAAAAGATTATTTCCCTTGCCAAAAATTGATTACAGTGTCTTGGTCACCTGTAAAGGGTTAAATTTACCTAAATATTACTATATTAATCGGCTGTAAGGTGACGTGACCCTTCTGCCATGAAGCCCTGGTGGTACGCCTTTCCCTGATCAAGAATAGTGAACCACGAATGCCCCCCAAGGGTGTCGGTTAGGTCTTGGATCCTAGGGAGGGGGTGTTTATCAGGGATGGTCTTCTGGTTCAGTAGGCGGTAGTCTATACAAAGGTGTAATGAACCGTCTTTTTTTCGGACACAGACAACGGGAGCTGTATATGGTGACCTGGATTTAACAATCCACCCTTTTGCCAGGAGGTCCTGAATGTACACCTTTACTTCAGAAATCAAAGGCTTTGGGACAGAGGAGTAGGCTTTTTGCACCGGGATGTCATCTTTGAGGTTGAGTGACATTTGTAAACTAGGAATACAACCGATGTCGTGTACATCTTTGGCGAAAGCTCCTGACTCCTCATACAACATCTTTTCCACTGTGTCTTGCTGATGTTTCTCAAGGTGGCTTAAATCTACCGGTGGCTGCCACAAGGTTCTTGGGAGGTTTGCTTCAATCTGGGAAACTCTAGCAGCCTCCACTTTAGTTTCATTATTAATGGGTGTATCTGTCTCTACCACCTTCTTAATCGGCTGGACACTACCAATAGCAGTCCTTCTTGTTAAAACAATGTCATGCCTAGTGTGATTTTCAACAGGCACAGCTACGTAAGGTAGTTTACTGGGCTGAATCTCTAGGAGTCCCTCTCCTAGTCCCAACTGCTGCAGGTGGGCCGAACTCTCTTCGGGCTCAAACAACACTAAACGCTCACTTGGGTCAAGTTGTGGTGGGACCTTACACTTAACCCAGGTTGTGCTGCCTGCTGGGATTACTGTATCTCTGTAACCCACCCTTAGGCGCCCATGAGTTGTGTTCTCCTGATTTGTCTGGATGAAGTGTACTATTCCCTGTGCTTCATCTACTGGGATAGACAATGCACCCCCGAGTAGCTTAGCTAAGTTAGAAGCAGCCTGCTCTGGACTCCCTTGGATTAACACTTCCACCACATTGAACCCTATGAGTGGTGTGTCTAAGGGCACTGAGCTGATTAGAAATGGCACATTCATGGAAACCTCTGGGTCTTCGTTACCTGGAAGGTTTACAGTTAATATTACCCACCCATCAAACGGGAGAGATTCCCCATTAACTGCATAAATCTTCGGCACCTTCCCATAGTCAGTTAACTCTATAAGCTCTGCTATCGGCCCAACATCAACATCTGAAATGTATTTGTTTTTCCAACTTCTGTCTATCAAGCTAACCTGAGCCCCAGTATCTATAAGAGCAGTCACAGTTAAGCCATTAAGGAGGCATTTTGTTGTTGCTTTCTTTCCTATTAGTCTAACTATTGGCTCTCTGTTGCTTACTGTGGCTTTGGGTGGCTCATCTTTGCCCTTCTTTAGTTTCAGTGTCTTGACCTTGGCTTGGTGCACTTTTGTGTTGTCACATGATGAAGGCTCTGTGTTGGGGTGGGACTCAGACGTTATCCCGGTTACAGCTGGTCCCTCCGCGGCAACCGGACCTCGTTTCCCTGCTGCTTTGGACGTTTCAGGCAGCCAATTGCTCTGTGGCCTTCTTCGCCTCACGAGAAGCAGTGGTTGCAGTTTTTAGAGCCCACCTCTACACATGTAGGGCATGCGTAAGATCTCTCTGCTTTTGTTACAGGTTGTCTGACGGCACTGCTAGAGTACTGAGTTTTCATTTTTTCCGCTAGTGCATCCACTACTCTAGTGAGGGCGTCAATCTTCTCTTCCAGTTGTTTTACGGTGTCATTTCTTTGACTTTTGCTCTGTAATCTCTTTTTTTGTTTGTTTAGCTTTCCCATCATCTACATTGGCGACATGGGCACTGACCTGTTTTGCTCGGTGTGTGGAGCCTATGCTGATGCTCAGACTCTTCACTGGTCACTTTCATTACCTGTTTCAGAATCATCTCATCTGTAACTGACTGGTCTGCCAACAAGGGCTTCAGCTCTCTTCTAATATCCTTGTCTTTGTGCCCTATTCCCTGATAAACTGTGTGCAGGAAGACACCTTGAACGGTTTCTGTTGTGTATTTAATCTCAGAATCAGCCTTTCTAGACTCAAAGAGAACCTTTTGTTTTAGGCCAATCACCCGGTGAAGGAACTGCTGGGTGGTTTCATTCTCTCTCTGTTTTGTACAAATCAGCTCCTGAAACAGCTCTGTACTGCTCCTTTCTCCAAGGTGTGACTACAGGAATCCTTTCAACTCAATAACTGTCATGTCATCTTTATTAACCAACATGTCCTTGAAACTGCCTGGTTTCACGATTCTTAACACCCCTCTAACAATCTCAGCCTCTGTAAAGTTGTCTTTAAGACCCTCCTCTATCTGCCTACACACACTGTTGTAGGTGATGTCTGACATGTGGTCTCCTACCTGCCCTCCCTGAACCTTAAACTCGCGTCTCGGAAGATAGGGTAGGTCTTTGAGGGAAACCACGGGGCTTGGTGGTGGTGTGGCATTACTTTGCAAAGCAAGTTGTCCTTGGGCTTTTTGTAGTGCAGGAGTTTTTACTAAATCTTGCAGAGTCCTACCAACCTTCTTGTAGTCTGAAATCATTTTAAGGACTTCTTCTTGTGGGATGTTATGGCTAGAGCTGCACTGGTCCATGTTCATTTGAGCTGCATTAAACTGGCTAGACTCTGGGGAAGTGTGGGATGCATGGTCAGGCATTGATGTTTCTCCCTTTGTCTCCAGGGCACTGGTGTGGATGTCTGTCGGATGCAGGAGCTCATCTACTATGTCCTTTAGTGCTAACAATTCCCCCATCCCACTGTCCTCAGCTTCTAACATTACCTCGCTGTACATGAAGGAGTTGATGTACTCGAAGCTTCCTTCTGCATCCTCACTTGACAGCTTTGAGGGATCCTTGCCTGGTACTGAACCCACCTTGGAAGCAATCTCAAACAATTGACTCGGCGTGAGTGCGAAGAGGCCCTTTCTGATGTCCCAAACCAGGCTCTTCCTTTCGCTGTCTGCCATGATGAGCTCCTTGTTGTCCTGTGATGGGTCGTTCAAAGCTGGATCCTGCCTCTGTAGTGGACAGCAGCTTTTCCGCGTTACATCAGCACTCCTTGGACCGTCAGCTCCGCAGCAGGTCTCATTGATGTGTGAGGATCAGCTCCATCTGAGATGTGGAACCAATCCCCGTACGGGCCACCAAGAATCTGTAACAAGCCCCAGGAGTTGGGCCTGTTGACAAGATTAACGGTTCCTGTAAAACAGGAAAAAGATGAGACAGAGACAACAGGTGCTGTTAGTCTTTGCCTTGCTCCCACCGAATTGGAGAAGGGGACCTCTAGACCTGCTACTCTGCCTCACTATTCAAGGCGCTACCCTGTGGCCTGGTGTTGTAATTGCAACCAACAGAAAGGCATCAGCAATGTGACTTTTCCTCATTTCAGCCATTACAGTTTCTAATGGGACTACACATATGTGTGTCACACACACAAAGGCAGTAAGCTATTATTGTAACCTTCAACCACTAAAAACAACGAGTAAAAACCCTGGGTTTCCAGAGCTATGCAGCAGGGACACAAACATACTACATCCGGTAATAAAATCATCTCTATATTCTTTTTAACAGCAGCTGATTTATGATGGTTTTAACTAGATTTTGGCTGTATGACTTTTTGTTTTATCTATTTTATTTTTGCTTTTATGTCCTTAATGTCATCTATGGTGCCTTAAGATCAAGGGTGTCAGTTTGTTTTCAGAATTGCTGGGGACAATAACCATACACTTGAGTGGGGTTTAAAAAATGCTGGGGACAATCAAGTAGGCT